CATCCTTCCCTCCCTCTCTCTCTGGGGTCTTGAGAAGTTTCAGAGCCTTTAGGATATTTTAAAGAAGGCAGCAATTTGCCATTACCTTCTTGCCAAAGTGGCTTTTGCTGAGAGGACRTAGACTACTTTATGTTGTGCTGTCAGTCATGACCTGTTGAGAAATGGTCAACTATTTGAAACTATTCCCTGACAACCTGTCAGCAATTCATGTGACATCAGTTCTTGGGCAGATGGCTTGAATCACTTTACCTGGTCAGGACAGCACAGAACTGAGTCAATCCATTGTGCAGAAAGCTGGTAAATGTACTAGGAACATACCAAGTTGGATCTTTTGGCATCATACATAGGCATTTTTAAGAATTCAAAACAGAAACTTCAGATTGTGGGTTCCTGAATTGGTCAGTGCCTTGAATCTATTGCAGATCTTAGTTCCTCCTCCTGTATGTATGAGAGCTAGCTTACATCTTCCCTTACATTCCTCTTGATCTTTTCTGATGGTGACATTGATAAAACTGATCACTCCAGCCTGGCCAAAGCAATTGAGCATCTTTTATACCTTTTAGCCTAGAATTCAAGACTTCTGCCCTCCTCCTGAAACTGCTCACATAAAACTTAGGCACCCAACTAATCTTAATATTACTTTTCTTTTTGCCATGCTGTTGATGCTAGGTGGCTGTAATCCACCAAATTATGAGAAATCATGATTAGTAATGGGAAAGGAAGACTGCAGGAAAGTAAATCTGGATTCTTTCTTACCAAAGTGGTCATTTAGGACCAACAGTTTGCAATAGGTAATCTTTAGAGTTTTTTAGCTGACTGTCTCTGAAAGGCTTTTGTAATTCACTTTTGCAAGACAACAGGAGATAGCCAAGACTTTAGCTCTCTCCATGTAATGTTTTTGGGAATGGCATGTTCTCGTGGTGCTGTTCTAAGATCATCCCTGAAGTAGAACGGGAATTACACTTAATCAGGAAATCCAACTGTTTTCTGCAAACTGAGAAGTTGTCCCTCCTGTCTAGGAGGTCAAGAGTGATCTATTTCCTGTTGATAGAAACAGATCTTTCAGAGATTTCCTGAAGTTGATTTTATGGAGAGGTCCAGTGCCATTTGTACTGAAAGAGTGTCGCAGTAGAGAGCTGTCCAGGTAAAAAAATGTAAATGAATCACCTAAATACTGTCAACATTACTGTCAACAGGACACAGTACACCAAAATGAGAATACATCAGTGGCCTCACTAATAGGTACTYCTGTCTCCAGCTTCTGCTGAGCCGCTGTCTGAGCATTTTCCATATCATCAGCAAGTGTTATGGCATGCAGGGCTGTGTTACAGTCGCTCGGCAGTTGTTAACCTTTAAATGAAGAACTTTGAGACCCAGCTCCAGCAGGATGAAAACGTGCAGGGAGTGGGATTTGGCATTTCTCCTCGGGCAAATGTACATGCAGATTATTACTTAGAGGTAGAAAAATGCTGCTTTTYACTGAATGCTTCAAGGTGGCAGCTGGGCAAGAGATGGCAGGTGGTGAGCCCAGGGAAACACCTATGCTGATTGCTTGGCTGGCTGCTAACGAATGGAACAGATAATGGCGTGAGCCTCCCTGGCCTTCCCAGCTTGGAGGCCCTCTCCTTTCCGACCATTAGTGCCACAAAACTTGCTAGCATGCATATCTTCATTTTTCATTCAGTTTTGACTGAAATGGGTAGACGGCTCCAATTCTGGAGGGAAGACTGACAGACATGTGGATTAAAAGATTGATTGCTTTATTCTCATTTCCTTAGGATAGCAAGGTAAAAGTGGTGCGGGTTGGAGAAGAGTACGGTTCACAGTATAAGCTTGCCTGAAATCAGGAGAGATCTCAGGAATCCCTAGTGGCTCTTGTGTCTCTTAACACGCTTTGAACTCTTTTGTGACTGTGTAATTACTGCCTGAAAGCAGGAATAGATTTCTTAGAAATATGTCAGTAACTCTCTAGTTCTTCTCCTGCCCCCGCCCMCCCTGTTTTAAAAAAGTAGGTAGTGCATTTGCTTTTCTGTATAATTCTGGAAGTTTTGTATCAAATCTGAGAACATTTTAGCCAGTTCTTTAAGTATAGATTTCAATCAATAGCAATATTCTGTATTTTTTCTTTCCTTATTTGTTATTAGTATTCATTGTTCAAGCCACCTGCTTACATTTTACTTCTTTATTGAAAACCAACATAAAACAAAAGCTTTAAGTATTTCATATCCCTCCATGTCATCTGTCGATAGTCTTCTCTTCCTGTTGATTAGCAAGCCAAAATTTTCCCTTAATTTGCTGAGGCATTAGTGGAATGACTTTTTATTATTCTTGATATTTTTCATATGAAATCTCATGTTTTGTCATGGACATTCAGATTTTGCCCATATATGCTCTCTTATACCATGGCAACATGTTTTACTTCTGTGCTGCCAGCTCTTAGACCCATTTCATATGAAATGCTGGTAACTTGAGTACATAGAAATCTGCTGTTTCACTATCCTTCCTTCTTCCTTTTCCAAGAGTCATGAGATCTGTCATTCTTGCCCAAGTTGTACTTCACCTTTTCAAGCAGTATTTCTATGTTAGTTAGGGTAAAATTTAGAAAGACGCTCCCTTCACCAGGTTTTGTGATATCAGCAGAATTCACTGATACGTTCTGGTAATCTATTCTGGTAATCTGTCATCATTGCCCAGCTGATTACAACCAGCTCGATTCGCTAAGATGATTTTGCTCTTTTTTTTTTTTTTTTCTTCTAGAAAAATGTCCAAATCTCCAAAAGCATCAAATCCAAATTCTGTTTTCCCTTGTGGTGTTACGTAGTAGGTATCCCACAATTTTGGCACCCGTATTCCTGTAGGCTTTTATGACTAGAACTCCTGGTAGGTTTTAATTTACCAAATCATAAAGTTCTCTAAGATTCTTTCCAATGATCTTGCTGTAAAGGACAACATATCATTTTTGTCAGCTCAGCTGTCCATCAGGAACAAGCTCTTTACTTATCCCAGTCATGTGAGTTATCCATTTAATTTATAATTCCGGTTATTTTAAGACTTCTATCTCCTGTTGCTTATGCCATATGTTTTTTTATATTTACATACATTTACTTGTATATATTTATTTATATATTTTGTGTATATTTATTTAAATGCATGTATTTGTTATTAATAAATATTAATATAATTAACTAAAATTTTGATCAAGAATTTAAGTATGATTATTATGGAGCATTTATAATAAATATTAAAATGATAAACATTTTAAAAATATTATTATGTATATGCATTATTATGAATATTATTGGAAGTGTAGAATCATCAATAASCATTAGTATTTATTGAATATTTACTATTTATTTAACATTTCATAGTCAATTATAGTTAAATAATGTATATTATATATTTATGTTTTTATATATGTGCAACCACCTTATTAGGTGGACTGATCTATTCTGCCTGGTTTTCTTTTTTTATGACAGCTATGTATAGCCCAGTGTCGCCTATTTTTAACCTCTCAGCTAAATTTCTATAGTTTATATTTTCCCATGGGCTTTTATGACGGCTCCTTTACTTAATCTTAATCCAAGGCTTCCTCACTAGATCATTCAGAATACAGAAAGCTTTTTACTTTTTGTTGGGATGGATTTTACTTTTACTGTGTAGCCCATGGAAGTATAGATTCCTGCTGARGACATCCTGAATGTCAGTATCTCAAACTTTAATTAAGAGGAATTGATATAAGCAACAGCTGAGCTTATCTTCATCACCTACAATGTGGTTACTTTTTCATCTCTGCAGGGTCATTCATGACAAGACCTTTGGGGATAAGCCAAGGAATATAGTGGGCAATGGAGTGGGGTGGGGAACGTAATGCTTTGGCAACCTCCTGCATTCAGGCAAGAGAGCAAACAAACATCTCAGGAGACCAGGTCCCCTCAGCAGATGGGTCCATCTGGCATCCTCAGGAGGGAGCCACCAATCACTGTCATCCTGATCACTCTTGGGAGGCTTGGAGTTAATCCTCTGTGCGCTGCTCACATCAAAGCAAAACTCTTTTCATGAACATATTTTCAGAACGAGAGTTAAAATTTTAAGATTATCTTCAGTTTTAGGGAATACCATAAAACATACTTAATAAATCTATAAAAATAAGACTGCTGAATAATTCTACCGTTTTCTTATAGGGTAATACATGCTTTCAGACTTAACAAAAATAATTGTTTTAACTTCCCTTTTCATGAGCTATAGTAAATCCATAGCAGATGGAAAATAGATAAAAGTGGGACTCATTACATACTATTTTATTTAATTTCTTTTCTGTCTTTACAAGTTATTAAAAATTTAATTCTGACTTGCTTTAATGGCTTACTGATGAAGGTTGTGGTATTTTATCAGGAAGAGTATATAGTCCRTATCTATGGACTTTCTTATAGGATCTGAGAAAGAAAAAGGTATTCTGGCCATTTTCATAATGGAAAGAAGTGGTGGTGATTTACTTGGGATTCATGAAGAGGAAGTTTCACCTTCCCAGAAAGAGAAAAAACTTCATAAGAGACATTTTCTCCTTTAAAAAAAAAAGACTCATTTGTTTCATTCATAAGAAGTATGGTAACTTCTGGCAACTTATGGCATTTTATGGCAACTGAAACTGAACATGTACTAAAAGATAATATGTTTCCTTAGCTGATGTAGTGTGATGACCTAACCAAGCTTGTGATTGAAGGTATAGGATCTCCGTTTGCAAAATAAATACTTCAGAGCAGTATCATTCAGCTTTTATTTTCTTCTGTAAAACAAACTATACTTAAGAAATGGTTGCATGATACAGGCCTTGGAAGCAACATGTGCTTTAATATGATCAACCTCTCTTTCTGCATGAAAGGAGCTTCTCCCATGTCAATGTCTTGTTTGTCATTAAAGCAGTCTTTCTCATTAATGCTGAATCAAATGTCTGAAGCTACAAAAAATGTGACTTGTCTTCATGCACAATCTTTCAATTTTAGAATGAAACAGATTGAGGATCAAGCTCACAAATATGCCAAGAATAGAACTGTTGATGAAGTAATTGAAAAGCTGAAGGACAAAGTGTTACAACAGGCAGCAGCTATTAAAGACAGCTTTCTTGCCTACAACAAGCAAGAAAATGGGAAAATTACTAAAGTTGGTTTGCGGAAGGTAGGAAAATATTAGAATTTTTTCCTTGCCCTGCATTTTTTCCCAGAAAGATCATTATTGCCTTAGCATTGTATTGGTTCACACAGCTAGAGTTAAATCTTCCAGGATTGTTTCAGTTACTAATGAGCTAAAGAGGCCTCATGCAGGCTTTTATGTGAGAAATAATCTCCACTTTCCTTTAAAAAGACAAAAAAATTGTCATCATGTGGCAGCAGTGCATCTTGAAAATTTCCACTGCTCCCAGGGAGATGTATGAATTAGAACTAGAGAGACATGGATGGGACTTTGGCATCCATTGTCAACCCACAACGCTTCTTTTTTGAGAAGTGAGTGGGCATATCTTAAAGAATTGTTTTTCCTTAATTCAGAGTGTTTAAGCCCTTTTTTGTAAATGTATGGTGGTAGCTGATAGACACATTGTATAGTTGGGTGAAGAACAAGACTGTTAATGGATATGGCATGACCTAAGCTACTTCCATGCCATCGTTCTTGCTCATGTGGGAGGAAACCTCTAGCTATCTGGTAGCCTTTTAGGGCACAGGCTGGTCACCAACAGGAGAAGAAGTGGAATGCAGTTGATTTTACCCCGTTGTCATCTTCCACTGTCAYTACTGGATTTTTGGGTGGCTTTGAATTCTTCGTTAGCTTTGGGTTTGGGTTAGATTTGAGTACAACGTCTCAGTGCAAAAAAGAATCTACAAAAATGAGAATATGTTCAAATAATTTAATTTTTACTTTTTGAGACTTCCAATTGAATTTTGTGTGTGTTTTTCTTGAGGTAGCGTTTTCTGTGCTGTTGCCAGAGCCCCTTTCAGCCTTGACTCCTAATCTAACTCTGCATGCTGTCCTTTGGACAGACTCATGAGGTCRTGCGTTTGGGATGGTAGCTGTGATGCGTGTGCCACCCAGCTGTACATTTCTTTCTTTTCACACATCAAATAAAAAAAAATGCTTTGCTGAAAGTTGACACTGGGCAGGAAAAGAGACATGAGGGTAGTAATATTTCCCTGGTCTACCTAATTTTAAGCAAAGAGCTGCTGCTGAATAGTGTTATGACAGCTATTCATGCTCTATCCTTTGTCCAGGTGTTGAGGGAAGATAAGGAGTCAGCAAGGGTCAGAACAGATCTGTACCTTTGAAAATAGCCTGCACGGTCCCTTGGGACACTTTGTCCCAATCTGTTCTTTACTGTGATTCAGTAAACATTGTCTTCCCATCCGTGTACCAGAGGCTGTGCATATTTTCACCAGCTGCTGTTGCAGGGGCAAATGTAATGACTGAAAGGAGATGACAGAGCTGTAGTCTTCCTTTCTACCCTTCTCAGCACAGACCCAGGAGGTATGTGCTCCACTTCGTACTGGACAAAGGCTCTGTAGTAACTGAGCCTTCCCCTGTGAACGTTGCAGCTGCATCCAGCCTTCTTACCCTCAAGTGAATATCCTTCTGCAGTTGTGTGCTGTGTTGGAAATGAAGGCGTGGGGATAGGGGGACAAAAACATATTTTGTCTTATTATTTTATTATTTCTTTTTATTAATAATAATAAACTTACTAAGAACATAATTAAACTGCAGCCTTCTACTACGAATCTGACAGCTGTGGCACATGCCTTTGGGGCATTGGCTTTGGAACTACRATTGATACTTACAATGTTATCACATTGCATATAAGCAATTGCACATAGCATATAAGTAATTGTACATACTGCACATAGCATATAAGCCTGCAACTAATGCAGTAATGTTCTTTTTCTCACTGTTAGGCTGAAGGAACTCATTCAACCTGCTGCTCTTGCCTCTGCATTCACTGCCTGTGTACAACTCACATTTAAGATATTTGTATAACACCAGCAGCTGTCAAACAGCCAGTCTTTGTGATTTCTTTGTTCTTTTGTTATGCTACAGATGATGCGCTCCTTAAGCTTTGGCARTACACACGGGGTAAAAAGCCATCATCTATCTGCATCCAGAGCTACACATCACYGTGCTGGTCTTGGACCCGGCAAAGTCAGCAGAGTTCAGTTGGGTGGAGTACTGCCCAGGAACTACGCCTGGCTGCTGCTGAAGGCTTTGATCCTTTAAAAAGGGACATGTCTCTTAAAAACGGACAGACTGCTGCATATCTCAGGGAGCTGCCTGAACATGTGCATTTCCAAACAAAAGAAAAACTGAAACTGATTCTCTGTCACTCATGGTCTTTAAATATGTCCACTCCTTTTGCAAGAGAAAGGCGATGTTAACCTCATTGCCCTGGCAGAATTCCAATTTGGGACTTTTTAATTCCTCCTGCTTCGGCTCTTTGACAATTCTGCTGATATGTTCATCCTTGCTTCTCAGCAATTCAGGGCAAGGAGTGACAAACATCTCAGCCACTTCTTGTCCTAGAGGTGGTAGAGGTTGAGCAGTAGATGAAGAGTACCTGGGAACTGGTGGTTAGCACCATTATAGACATCATGGGGTACCTTTCCTGGTCTCCAGCTGCTGCTTCGKGTGCAAGCACATCTTTATCACATCTGCCAGCCTCATACAAATATCTCGGACATATCAGCCCACTGCAGATGGCACTAGGCAGCAGCACGCAGGTGTTAAAACCTGCAGGTAATAAAACCTGGCCCAACAATGTCCTGGTATGTAGGTTGTAAAGCATTTTGGGCCTCACCTGTTTTCTATTGATTCAGTATTCTTGGACCAAATCCTGATTCTGCAGCTGGGCAGATGTGGTGTCCACAACATTTCTTTCCTCAATATCTGGTTAACAAAGTGCTACTCTAATCCACAGAAGAGAGCATTCACCTATAGCAGCCAGGGAGGCTTCTTTACTCCAGAAGTAGAATAGGTTATTCAAACAGTAAATAAGATAATGTGGCAGTCATACCTATAAAAACGGAGTAGCTTTTTTGGTTTGTTATTCCGGTCCAACCAGTAGAAGTGGGCAAATATTTCCTCATTATACAGTGGTCATCAATTCCTCTTCCTTTAAATATGCAGAAAGTATTCATTTTGTGAGCTGTTCAGCACAGGACAATGACCTAGTCTCAGACTTTAATACAGTTTAATCTTGCATGCAATTTGGCAGGGTTTTATCTTTTTTTTTGTCTCTAGATGAAAGTGCTAATCGTTGGGGCTGTAGTCACCCATTACTATTGTGACTGAATCTCTCCAGCTTTGACTGGATTTGTATGGCCAGATATCCTTATCGCCACTATTATGTATTTGATCTGATGGTAAATACTTGTTCAACTGCACATAAAATGTGCTTGCTTATCCAGAAGCTTTACATTCATTGAAAAGAATGATAATTTGCTAATTATTCTCTTCCCTTTTTAACATTCCTTATGCTGTTCAGCAATTTAATGATTTTTTTTTCTTTTAATCTATACAATTAACTAAAATATAATAGCAAGAGTAATTGCTGTAGAAATACTTGGAAAGTCAGGACAGAGCTGTACAGGAGAGTTATAAAGGATATGCCCAAATCAAGAGTTACAAAGCAGCTGAAGGGAATGAAGAGGCTGCAAAAGGATCTATTCAGGGACACAGGAGGTGGGAGAAGGAATAGAAAACCCCTCTACAGGCAACTGGCAGGTGACACAAGAGGAGGATATAGCTGCCTGCTACTCCTGCAGATTATCGTACCCTTTCAGTGGAGACAGAGGTCCCCAGAATGGGTCATGGGAATCACAGAATCGTAGAATCATTATGTTATGGTTGGGATAGACCTTCAGGATGACCAAGGCAGAATGGTCTGACAAGTCCCTGCAAAATGGATTACATCAAATTAAGTGCTGGATCTGCTTTGAAGAGCAGCATGCAGAAGAATTCCTACTTTTAGAATATTTTAGAATATTTAAGGTTGGAAGGGACCTCTACAGATCATCTAGTCCAACCTTCCTGCTCAAGCAGGCACACCTAGAGCATGTGGCACAGGGTGGCATCCAGGCGGGTTTTCCACCCTGTGCCACATGCTCTACTTTCTAACTCATTGTAGCCATACATGGCTCTCTGCAGCATTCCTTGTCCAAGAATCAATTGTGATGGTCCTGTGGTATTAGCAAAAAAATGGTACTTGCAAATTCTACAAATAGCAAAATTCCTTGGTCTGATAAATGAGCTGACTTGATCACTTCTGGTGCTTTCCACTTTTCAGGGGAAGTTAATCTTAGTCTGCTTTTGCTTAAAATGTCTCAGTGCTTTTGCTTAAAATGTCAGTCTCAAAACTACAGTCAAATTTTGCTCTCCGCAAATTTAGTTCAATTCTGTATTAAGCATATATATCTGCATATTAAACAACAAAATAGATGCATCTGTATCTTACTTTATTTCTCTTCTGACAGGTCTTGGAGGACCATGGTATGCCAATGGATGACAATCAATTTAATCTGCTAACAGAAAAGTTAGGATTCCCAGATGGAGGGTTGAGTTATCTGGATTTTGTGGCAATATTTGAAGGTAAATGAACTCTAAGAGCAACACAGCATAACACAAATCTTTCCTAGAAAATGTTTAACTTCCTCTTCAATGAAAGATTATTGGAGAAATTAGGAAGAGATCAGTGGTATGAGTTTTAGAACACTGATGACCTGTAGTTCTTTGACTGTTGATCTACTTAACCTGCTGCATATCTAACCCAGGGCTTGAAGGAAACTGGGGTTTGTGGCATGCGGACAAGTAAAGGCCAGTAAAAGTGTAATGGAGTTAACATACTAGACTGCAGAAAATAATGGATTGGTTTCTCTGCTTATGCAGGTCCTTCTCTTGAGCATTTCTTGCTGCTCTTCACAGTCTTGGGCCTGGGTTGTATCTCGAGTTCTGATAGTGATCTGTTATCTGTTGTTAAGGTAGTATTGCCCAGCAATGCCTTTTTTTTTTTTTTTTTTTCCCCTACCTGAAAGGTCAGGAAACAGTAACTAATCCTTTCAGATACAAAAGATCCATTAGTAAACCTTTAGTGATGGACTTTAGGAGGAGAATATGCAGCTAGAGATCTGTGATGTGATCTGCTTACTTACTGCTCTATAGTTTTAATTTAAAGTATTGCTTTTGAATGTTAAAGTTATTAAGGGAGTTTGCTGCTAGAGGGTGCTGAAATGCCGTTGCCTATAAAGAAATACTTTACTGGCATAGGAAACATCCCAGTGAGATTGCATAGACACAGGTATGTTGTCYGCACACATAATGAGGATGTGGTCTTCACTGATTTACTGTTGCTGAGGAATGCAACCCGGAGGAATATCTGTGCAATGTGGGAGCATGTTGTTTCAGTTTAACTGCTTGCTTTCCTCCATCAGTGATTGCATTGATTTCACAGCAGTGTAAGAGTCTCAAATTTTGACTCTTTGAAAGTAATCAAAGCTGAACTCATTTTCTTGTGCTGGAACCCTTCTGTGGAAGTTGAGTCTAGTAAATAATTATTCATTTCTCATTTATTTTATCCTTTAAATCTAGATTTTTCTGGATAAATTGTGATGCTACAGAAGTCAATGGGAGTTTTGCCATTGACTTCCAGAAGGCGAGTTTTAATTTCTCTATTATGTGTCTCTTCATTATTTTTCTCAGCAGTGTCCATTTACTTTTCCCTCACAGTTTCTATTATTTTCTACTATCGTTATTACTCCTTAGACCTAAGAAACAGAGCGAGAGCTGACTTGTGGCAGGACTGATGAAATATTTGGGTTTTCCTGCATTGAGGCCAAGTGTTCAGAAGTATGTGAGTATGGTCAGATAATCATTTGTCCATCAAAAAATATGCATCTAGTAGCCTAGAATAAGATGCTTGAAACAAGCGTCTTATTTACCACCATAATGGTGGTAAAAGTGTGTCAACACTTTGATTTAATTCAAGAATCAGAAGTGCTTTGTCTGTAATTAAAGCTTGTCCTTTTGACAGTCATGAGAATCACAGCTTTTCTTTCAAGAGGTTACCAAAGCTCACAGTTGTAAAAGAAACTGTAACCCATATTTAACATAAGGCTCAAAACACAGAAGGCAATGAAAAACAAAACCAAAAAACCTACTTATTTCTCCTTTTCCAGTGATCATGATTAATTGCAGTGGGAGGAGGAAGAGAAGCTCTGACCCCATGGGCTGTAGTCACAGTGTGGACAGTGAGACCGAATTCTCTCTCAGAAACTTCAGTGGGAAGACAATATGAGTAGAAGATTTCCTGACTGGGCCTCAGTTGATAAAGGAATTGAAAAAGGGATGGATAGCGTGTAGTAGTGGGGGAGAAAGGTTGCAGGGTAAAATCATAAGAAACAGAAAAGGACACAGAGAATACAGTTTAGTGATGTCTCTGGAGTACAGGCTTTTGTTATGTGTAAATTATTTCTGTCTTCTCTTCTGTGAATGGATTCCTTTAGAAAGGTCCGTTAACTTTGGACTTTTCCAGTCAGGCAGGAGTAGGATGTAGTGAAATGTTAGTGTGTGCATTTTCTTTGAGAGTTTCTCCCTCTTCAAAAATCTGAGGTGAACTGATTAAAGTTATTGTAAAACATACTGAAAATTTGGTGAACATAAGAAGGAAGCCATGTCTACAAGATGGTGGCATTTTATTGACTGGATGAATCACTAGTGCTGGTATCTTCTTCTCACCCAAAGGTCTGAGAGGTGAAGTATAGTAGTAAATGATCTTGCTGTAGCTTTATCTAGGTGAACCACTTAGCTGCAAGGGAATGGCTCATCTGGGTAAGCTTTATGGGATTAGGGTCTTTCTTGATGAACTGTTGTCTAAATTGACTCAAGCAAATCCACAAACAGAATTTGACACCCTTTTAAAAAGACTCTTTTTAGATACCTTTTTAAATAGCCATCAGMGATGCAAACATATGAATGAACAGTATTCATATTCTTGTGAGATGGGATGGTGGAAAGGTATGAAGAGCACATTCCCAGCAAACCCTTTTTGCTTGCTCCTCAGTGACAATTCTACTTTTTCCATATATTTTCTATATGACTCATACAATGCAGAAAAAATCTGAAATGTGCAAGAGATTTTAAAAGGTGTTATTTGGTCTGTTTTTCCCCAAAAGCAAGGCAAAATAGGTACCTAGAGTGTCACAGCATGGCGAGTAGAAAAAAAAAATCAGAGAAATCTCAAACAGTGACCAAAATAGCTTTTCTATTGCCTAAAAATACCTTAGACCTTCAGGACTGGAAGTACATGTTGTGTGTCCTGCTGTGAAGCTGGCTGTCTCCCTTTCTTCATCTTGCTGGACTGAGAGATGATGAGAGTTAAAGTTGTGACAATGTGAAGCTGCCATTTGTGCGAGACAGACTCTTGCTAGACCAGAACATCAGGCAAAATAGTATTGACACTGTGTAGAAGGAATGGAAGGTAAGCAGTGTTGTGACTGGAGAGCTCCTGAAATTCCTTCTGTGGGTTCAAAATAGTGGARGGTTTAGCCATAGCTGAGTTTCTCTAGGAGAGGTGGTCTAGCAGGCAGCAGTTTTGCTATGCAAAGATGGGACAAATTAATTCCTCTGGTGCTGTGGTCCTCAGGAGCTGCACACAGTGTTTCCTCCCAGAGACAGGCAAATCACCACTTGGTTAGTATTCATTTTATCCTCCTCCTGTCTAATAYCCTACTTCTTCAAAACAACCAGGAACCAGAGAAAGCAAAAGGAAGAGGCCATGTCTCAGCTCTGCTTTCTTCAGGCAAGATGACCCTCTGCAAGCTTCTTTCACCTTGTATTAGGAAGCAGCATTGCAGCTGAAGCAGTTCTGGAAATCAGATGGACACCACTAATACTGTGTACAGCTATTGCACTTTGTCACGTTTGGGCTATAAAAATCATGATTGCAGGTTTCTTGGTTTGTTTATGTTGTCTTATTGTGCTATTTATCAGATATCTTTAATATCATTATTTCAATGCTCGTTCTGCTTTGATTTCTTTATTCCAGATGCCAAACTGAATGGGCCAGGAGCTGCATTATGTCACAGCCCAAAGAGAGGAGATAGTGCTGAATATCATTACATGACTGCTGAAGAGTGTCTCAGTCAGCTTAATGATAAGCTGATGGAAGTCTATGGGGTAAATACATTGAGCCATGGTTTGCTTTTGGCAGAGAAGCTAGTTGCTATTGTAATTGTTTGTAAAGTTGGTTTGGGGGAACTGTCAGAAAAGTGACTCTGCAAATTATGACGAGTTTCGTGTTTTCTGTTGTCTCAGAATATTTCAGTTAAAACATATTCATTTTACAGGGCAAAGACTGTTTTTTTCTAGCTGCCTTCACTGCAGCAGTGAAGAAATAGCCAAGAAATTAAAAGCTGAGCTATTTTTTCCCATTCTTTTGTGAGCCTAGCCTAGCTTTTACAGACTTTGCAGTTAGTGTAGAATATCTCTGCACTGCTCCTCACAGAATACTCTGACTGAACACAAGTGCAGTCTATCAAGAAGAAGTTTTTTTCTTTGTTTTTTTCTTTTTTTGGTTGATTAACATTAGAATGTACTCCTTGAAATCCCACCATTCTCAAATTCCCTTAAAGTATTTGCCTATTGTCAAAACAAGTCTAGAGCAAACATTTTGTTATGTTAAAATGTGTAGTTGACCTGGTAAATACATTTAGTTAAATGTTCCTTGTTAGGACACCTATTCTGCCTTCCGTAACACAGACACTAACCGTGATGGTGTCATCAACATGCTTGACTTTCGGCACCTCTTGGACAGCTTTCTGTTTAGTCTTAGAGATGAGGAGTTCTTGCGCCTACTGGGTATGTTGAGAATGAACCTGACCTCCACCTTAAATTACAAAGAATTTCGTCAACTGTTTGAGCCCCAAGAAACTAAGGATGTACCTCCTTGGCTGATCCCACCTCACAAGTAAGAGAAAAAGTTGTATAGTGCTTACATTAATCTGATGTGTTTATATGAATGAATGTGTTATATGAAAATTGCTATTAGATATGACTGAAAAAAGATTRGAACGTGTCTTTATCAGGCTGAGGCTGAGCAGCTCTGAAAAGTTATCAGTGATACAGTGTTCAAATAAAATACTAAGTCCAACCTGCAATTAAATTGAATAATAACTCCTGARGACTGTTCAAATCCGTGAGATTAAAAATATATACTGGTACCTGAGCTGGTAGCCTTTGAGCTGAGCTAACACCCAAACTGAAAAACATAACTGGATCTCTTGAATATGCAGAATAGGGCACGCAGTTTGGGGATGTCATTTTGGGTTGAGGAGTAGCTCGGGTGTTACCTGCCTGCCACAGTCCCTGCTGATTCCGAGACTAGCCTCACTGTCAGTGTGCATTAGAGCAGCCCGCGGGTTACACAGCCCAAATCCTTTTACCACCAGAGTACTGAGGTAGGCAAGACTGGGTAAGGTGTGTGGAAATGCTGAGATGCTCTAGGGTGAATGGAAGATAGTGACAATGTGGCAGCAGGCTCCCTTACTCTGAGCAATGATATTGCCTCAAATGTCTGGAATTTAAAGCCTCAGGTTTTCTTTAATGATAAATAGCACTTAGGCAATAAAAAAAAAATCTTAAAAACTCGGTGTGAAACTATGTTTAGCTATGCAAACAGAGATAAATTGATAAAAATAATGACAAGATTCAGCAGGACTGAAAAAACTGGTGATCAGCAACTCATCTCTGCTGAAGCAATGAGGATGTGATATATACACATAGGCTTATTTCCCAGTTTTTATTTGTCTGTTACTGTGTTACTGTTGGCTCAGATGCTAATAATATTTATCTACTTGGTTTGTTTTTCATTTTTTCCTGAATTGGGCAACTGAGTGAATCAAGAACATCAGTCTAAACCTCCTGATCATCACTTGGTTTTGCTAACGGTTGAAATCTGGGATGAATTAATGTCTTGCTCTCTCTTCTGTTTCATTTTCGATTTAGCTCCAAAGTACTCTCAGTTTCAGAACTGTTCCTGTTTTAGAAATCTAACAATGAAAATACAATGATTGACAGCCTTGGGATTGCTTGCAGCTTCCCAGCTAACTTCTTATACCATTTTAAACGGTCAAGAGATTAGGTTTATGGAGTCTTCTCCCAGATATTAGGAGTGGGAAGCTCTGAGAATCGGAAGATTCCCATGCACCTAATGTACCTAAATGAGCCACCTATTTCTGATGATAGGAGATGCCTTCCCTCCAGGACCCAGTCATGTGTGTTCTTGCATAGCTCCCTGATACAGACAGCTCTCTGCACCGTGTGGTAACTCTGCTGGTTCTCTTTCTGAGGAACCTGTTAATCCCTCCATACTTGRACTCTCCCAGAAGCACCAGACCCTCAAAACTTCAGTGCTTGTCATGCTAAGCAGTGACTGAGCTTGCTTGCAAATCTGGGTCTTAGTCCCCAAACTTACCAGCRAGGTCTTGTTAATGCACAAAGACAGTTTTGATCTAAGTTATTGAAGTAAATCAAGGATAATCTTCCTGGAGTCACTCCAGGATATAATTGTTTCTGAGCTAATTAACATTTCCTTCTATGTGGAGAAATGATCGTGCCGTCTCTTGAGTTTGAGGGAGAATTGAACAACACTGATTTGAAAATAAATAGGGAATTAAAAAATTTAAAACATCTTCGCTAACCTGCAGCTAGGGAAATAAGGCAGTATTTAAAGAATTAAGTTTACACAGATGTGAAGTAACAGTCTTTAATGTGTATCTTAGAAACTAGGAAATCACTGCTGCCATGAAGAACAACAAAAGGAAAGGAAACTTGTGGAGATTAAAGATTCCACTAACGTACAGCATAGTTAGTTGTTACTTTTTTTTTCTTTTCTTTTTTTTTTCTGAGAAAAAAACAGATGATAACGGAGGCAGAGCTAGCTTGTGATCAGGCTCATTACTACCTTGTTATCAAAGCAAGAACCAGATGGCATGACCTAGCAAGGGTAAGAAGAATGTTTTCTTTAAATAAATAAAACTGCACTAATGTATTTCAGGACATTATGCAATGTTGATCTTCAGATTCTATAAATATTCAAAAAGACCCTTGCAAAATAGCTCATTAATCATAAAAACTTACTATGTGAATTAAAAGAAATCAACACTTTGAATAATGTTCAATTTTTGTAGTGTTAATTATATAGTAGTGCTATTATAGTTTATATAGTAGTGCTATCGTCGTTATTTCTAAAAATTTATTTATATTTTAGTGTTGTTGACTTTACTTAATGATTCTGTTTTAAGAGTAGTAATCGGCCTCATCTGAGGCCCATTTGACTAGATGCCATACACAAACACCCATCTCCTTGCTCACACCCRGTGTTGCCAAGCAGAGTGAAGGGTGAGCATTCATAGAGACTTTTCATAAAACAATCCCTAAAAATTAATTCCAATGTTTTTAACAGTTAAATAGTTGCAATAGCCAGAGAACAAAGCAGCATAAGGAAAAATGAAGCTAAATTTTAATCAAATGTTTGCGTGAGACAATAGTTCTTATGGTTTGAGCTTGCAAGATGAGTGTGTAAAAGAAAGAGAAAAAAACCCCAAAATCTTAGTTATGATCTTAGGTACGTTTACTATTTTCATCTTCCATTGGTGTGCTTCAGCAGCAGGAATTTCTGTACATGGATATGCAATTTTAGTGTTTATATCTGTGTATTCACCATCAATAAGAGACTTTCTACACAGAGTCAGTCCACCACTAAAAATGAAATTWAAAAAAAAATTGTTTTAATGAAATTCAGACTTATTTTTTTTCTCAGTTCACATTATTCATTAAGTTTATAGAGATTTATTTTCAAGCTTGCTAGTTCTTGCTAGTGATTTCTTTCACATTCCAGAGTTTTCAGGAATATGACAGTGAAGGAAACGGTATTATACGGTCTGAGGATTTGAAAGAAGTCTTGTTCAGATTTGGCATTCCAGTCACCCCAGAAGAATTTAAGAAGCTTTGGGCAAGGTATGACAACTCTAAATGATTAGCTCTTACAATAATGTATCTTTTATAGGATTACAGAGCCTTTGGCAGTGCAGTGAATTACAATAGAGCATACTGCCCAGGAAAACTTCTCTTTTTTTTATGAATGTGACCTTAAATCATGACAATGTGTTACACGARGCTACATTGTATCATGCTAAAGTCGAGAATACAATTAGATCCATCAGTTTCCAATGAATTCAAAGACAGTTTTTCTGTTGACTTTGGTATCCCCAGTCCCTTTAATTTAATATACGTGTTCATCTAGGATGGCACTTTGGGTCACAAGTTAAATTAACTTGTTTTTCATCAATTTAGTTTGCACAAACAAATGCCTACCTCAGTTTGCTGTGAGTGAAAGCCAGCTCCAAGCATCTCAGGTCAGCTGGGAAATGCACATGGAGCTTCCATCAAGGGGCTCCACSGAGCACCTTGTGGTGCCCATTTGGCTGAAGTCAGCGCTACCTCCTTTGCAGAGCACTAAACTGGCTTGCAACATTCTCAACCTAAATAAAAGTGATTCAGTCAAAATAAAATCGCTACATGCCAAATACATAACAGAAGAAAGTAAGGTAATTTCATGCTGTGTAAAGATGGCAAGTAATACCATGAAATGTTTTTATAGGCGAGTAATTTGTTCTGAAGTGGGGGGGAAATACTTGTCTGCTCTCAGCTAAGAGGAGCGTGCAATAAACTGTCTTTGAGAAGGCATAGATGTCAGCTATATGTGACATTATATAAAAAACTTCCTTCATTACAGGTTTATTTAAAAAAAAAWAATCACTCTCCCCAACATAAAGAACCCAAGTGTATTCCATTGTGGTTTCAAACTGCTTTAACTGTATGGTTTATTTTTTCCTAGCACTGATTCATCTCTGAATTATTTTCTACTCCGTTAGATTTTACTTTCCATTCTTATTCCTTATGGATGCCATGGCACACTGAAGAGTCTCCTCTTCATGCAGTCATCTGCTGCACGGTTTCACTCCCACAAGCCACTGCTTTGATAGAACAGATAAAATCTCTTACGTGCCTCATACAGCTGTAAGTTGAATAAAGGAATTAGAGTGGAGCTGAGGCTAAATTAGGCATTACCATGCATCGGAGCACTAGCAGTGGGAGACACTGCAGGGGACAATCCTATGGAAATGTTCATACCTAGGAAAATATGAAAAAAATGTTTGTGAAGTTAAGCACACACTGCTGAAGGGTTATTACAATTCTGAGCCTCTCAGATGTGTGTGACCCGTTTGAGACGTTTGTGGCTGAAGTTTCAGACGTCTGATGCTCTTTGTCTCAGGTCAGGCCCGGCAAAGCAGCTSTGCTGAGAGCCAGAGAACGCTCCTGACAATTTGTTCCTCAGGGTAAAATTTTCAAAACCAACTGTGTGATGATGAAGCCTACATCCTACCTTGTGAGTCTCATATAAAGTCGCTCACTCATTCTCTGTGTGGTATGGCACCTCTATAAGGAAGGCAAGCCATGAGATTTAAGCTGCTAAGTCACTTAAGGACATCTGTAATGCTTTTCTATGAGGAGTACATGAATATTTAAAAGGAGCGTTTCTTTTTCAAGGTATGATACAGATGCAAAAGGATATCTTACTCACCAAGAATTTTTACAGAAGCTGGGGATAGAGTTTGCACCCGCTGACATMGGGCTCAGCAGACATATCACAGAAGACAACCCTGCGCACTTAAAAGCACATTATAATAATCAGCAAAAAAAGCATTCAAAGCTGGAAGAGCAACAGAAACAGCRAACTAATGCTCTGCATGTAAATGAAGTGAAAAAGCAGATCAAGTAAGTTATTTATGAGCTTGGCATATAACTTTCTGTGKTTGTGTTTGGTTTGTTAAGATGACAGAATGTACAATACAAATGTTATTTTACAAAAAAGTCTCTGAAAAAGAGTCTTACAAGGTGGATGAGTTTTATACATAGTGTTATTCCCATCATTTTGCTGAAGATAAGCCTAGCCCAGCATTGTGAAAGCATTGTGAAAATATTCTCCATGGCTGTATATTACTCAATTTTTTAGATGTTATGGAAACATCTTTATTGGTAAATCAGAGTAGCCACAAACATTCCCAGCTGCTGGAACGTGATTACCTGTGGTGTTACAAACCTTGTTGCACTTTGGCCTCTGCCAATTAATATTATCCCTAATCGCTCCCAGCATAGCYGAGGGACAAGAAGGCTTCAAGGACCTTCTTCTACTTAACACAGAGTGTGCAGGCCGCGGCTCTCTTTCAGGGACCGAGAAGATTCACCAGCGGAGATGTTTATTGCTGTGGACACAGCCTGTGGTTCCATGAGGGCACTGCTGTCAGCTGAGACTGAGTAAGCGTGGTTTGCTCACCCTGCAGTGCTCTCCTCCTCAGGCTGCTCCAGGCACGGTAGGTTTAGACCTGCCTGRTGGTCAATAGCAGGGGCTTTCATTGCAGCTGCCGTGGCTGGACATTTGGGACACTTTGGTCCCATAGCCTATCCTGCCCCACTGATGAGAGCAAAGTAGCAATCACAGTTGGGTTCACAGCCCTCTAGCAGCTACTGAAAATGTCAGGAAATGCCTCAGCAGAAGCAGCAAAAAAAAAAAAAAAAAAAGACAGCTATAGAAAGGATGTACCTCAAGAGCAATAAGCCTCCGGTCCCCAAGCAAGAGGCGTCTGCCTCAAGCAAAATCAACACTCACAGAGTTAATAGGTCATTGCTGCTGAGAAGAACACTTGGCAAACAAAGGACAACATGATGTCCTACTCAGAGTGAAGTCCAACAGTCCGTGCTTGCCCTAGGAATGCTGTGGTAATTAGCCTGATACTAGGTGCAGGATTCCCAAACCTGCCAACAGAGAAAGGCAGCAGATTCTCCTGCTGTTAAATCTTTAGATCCCAGTACACTGCTCTTAAATCTTTAGATCCCATGTTGGGGCCAGTTACCACTTGGGTGCTTATCATGTTTTCTGCTCATGCTTTCTCTCCTTTCCAGAAATGATTTTGTGTGTGTGTGTGTGTGTGTGTGTGTGTTTTAATGACTCAGAACATTCTGAGTGAGAAACACTCAGAAGCAAGGTAATGCAAGAATATATACCCCACAAAAGCACCGAGTTGCTTTCCTTTGTGCTTGGAAAGTATCTAGATGTTATAGGAGCTAATACATTAATAATGATGATTATTATGATTATGAGAATTCCCCATGATATTGTTGATGCAGGTGTTACACCTATAAACAAAGATGAGAAACCACCTCTTGCAAGTACAAAGTAATCCTCAGAAATCATTAGACAAAAAAAAAAAGCCTCTAAGCTAAGACTTTGGGCTTTATATCCTGTTTTTTAATGCTATTTTTAGTGTCCCAAGTCACATGAAGGAATCAAGGCCAAAACTCTCCTTTCTGTCCAGCATCACGCTATCCCACCTGCACTGCAGCTTGCTGTGCTGCAGTCTGCCCTTGTGACACATGGCAGGTATCAACAAATGTTTCACCTGTGCAAAAACTGTGTAATATCCAACAGAGATGATTAAGCAGCCAGCGTGCTGTAGGTGTTGGTTATTACAGTATTTGCGTCTGGCTGATGAGAAGCTTGGGCCTTAACTGCCTCCTGCTGAGCTCTTCCACTCAATTTGTCATTGTTTCTTACCCATTAGTGCAAGCCCAAGTGCAGTCTGGCCCTACCTCCAATAAGTAATACTGTGAGTAGGGAAAAGCTGTACTGCAAACAGAAATTATGCAGCATGGCCCAAAGATGCAGATACTCATCCTGAGGCAGTGGGGAGTAATTTAATCAATGAGGAAGGCACACGAGGTAAATAATAATAATAATTTAGAAGTGTTTAGTTTTGAAACCATACTATGATAACAACTATATACCCGTGCATATGCAAATACATAGGACGGTGCACAGTGATCGCGTAATCATCATTTGGAGGAGAACAGGAGTTGGCAGACTGGATCAGAGACCATCTCATTTAGTATCTGGTATTAAGCAACGCTAAATATTTCTGGTGGAGGTGGAGCAGCCTTCTAAAAGATGGACATAGGAAATTCTGCCCCCTAAACCAGGGCTGTCTCCTCTTGGGCTATTTAAAGGTTTAGCATATGCCTGCAGGCAACATTTTCATACCCTTTTAGCAAAGGATGTTATTGTTACTATTCTGGCTTTTCTGCTTTCTCTATATGCTTAAAAAGACCCTGTTTTGTTCTTAGTCTTTTCAGTCAGTGCCTTCTTACAGGAATAATCCCCCAGCTTTATTGCTTGTGGCCTGCAAAACTCTGTGGTCTTTTTATTGATTATTCTCACCTTTCAATTCCACTGGAGGCTCCCTTCTTGTTTCCCACTCTTTCTTACCCACTTCCTAGACAGTGGAATGGTCCAGGGGTAGCAGGTCCTGGGTGTCGTTCTCTCCTGGAAAGCCTGAAGTGCCAGAGGGGCATCCAGGCCTCTGAGCTCCTCAAATGTCATACAGAGCCTTTGAAAGCTGTAAGYGACTTTTCATCCAGAGTCATTGTGTGAAGAATGAAATCCATGTGCGTGGTGACTCTCAAGGCCACGATCCAGTGGACTGTCCGCCTTTGCCTCCAGAAGGAGAAAAGACRTGAGCCACAGGAAGCAGAAATGGGCACTGTGCCCTTCTGCCAGAAAAAAACCTCAGTGCAAGGAGATCTCTTCTTGGACAGGAGAGGAGATCTCTTCTCGGACAGGAGAGAGGATAGAGCGGCCACAAAACATGACCGTGGTCACGCACATGCCTCTCAGCCCCTACGCTGTTCTCACTGAGCTTCCAGCCGTCCCATTCTGCCTTGGAGGAGGCAAGGGCTCCTTGCAAGGGCTGAATTTTTGGGATCCACTTTAGGACAACCAGGAGCAGAACCTGCAGCCCATTGTGTGGCCACACTCAAGCTCTGCCTTTACCATCCGTACACACAGGGGCTGCATCCAGGTCCTTCTTCCTGGCTTTCTGCAGGGGCCACAAACCTTTGGAGCAGTTGGAGTGCTCTGTGATTACACACTGTGAAGCAGACAAAGGCTCTGGACATCTTAAAATTCAAAACGTAGTGCTGAGCCTTTTTTTTTTTTCCATTTCTTTCTTTCTGTTGTAACTCATAGGAACAAATAATCCAAATTAGAAGCAGACACTGAACAGTGGCTCTCCAGCTCTTCAAGAGAAATACAAAGCATTCACAAGAAAATACTTTTTTGGCAGTATATCTTGAACTATGGTTTAAAACCTCATGTACTCCATGCACGTATTTACTGCTGCAAGTGGAATAATTACTGCTTGGAAACCTTTATTCAGTCCAAAAATATTGCCTGCTTCAATTTTCTAAAAATATGTATCTCACAAACTGTTTTGATTTTACCTCTCATTGGCAAGGTTTAAGCAGAAGACAATAGCCATGAAGAGCTAGCATTTGACAGAATAGCGCTGAAGGAACGTACAACTGTAAAGGATTTCAGAATTTTTTTGCTGCAGTRGCACAGCCATATCCTTTAAAGCACACCCTTACAATGTGGAGGAAGCAGGGCTGTATGGTCTGCTCTTCTGGGGCTGGAGGAGATGATTGAATTTACAAAGTGCATTTACAAAGAAGTGCCCTTAGGGAAGTCGGTTGTTTTTGACTTCTAGGCTGCTGCACCCTGCTTGCTAGTGTGACTGTCTGGCTTTGAGTGAGATGCAAATACCACATGGTAACGGGAGTATGTGAGAAAGAAGGAGGAATTAAGGAGAAAAAAAAAAAAGAGAGATTTGAAAGTGAGAGAAAAGGTGATAGCTCTTTTGGGGCTTTTAGAAACTCTAAAACACACAGGCAGTATTGCAGGCTCCTTTAAAAGATTCACATGATGTTTGAAACCACTATACAGTGTAGTATAGATTCATCAGAAGGAAGCTCACAGCTATTTTCTGGAATACTATAATGGTAGGAGCTATAAATGTTTTTAATGATATGAAGCCAAACCAGGGTGAGAGGGCCAACCATGCAGCTATATAAAGCAGATTGAAGGAACATTGCACTTCCAAGGAGAGATACAGGTTTTACAGGGGAATGCAAAAGAGGAATCCTCTGAATAATGTTAAGTTGATCTTAAAATAGGGGTTTGATCAAGTAGTATGGCATTTGGGGAGATTGTACTGTAAGGGATCCGATAGGGATTGGAATCACAGACCAAAGCTGCTACACCAGGAAGCCAGGATCTAGAGTTGGGGACCGCAAGCTTGGCCAATCATAAGGGACAATATGAAGATATCAGAAGAGGTACAGAATGTGCTGGCTATTGGAAATGGAAAATGGAAAACAGATTTGAAGACGCTCATGAGAGCTATCTGCAAAAAGTTGCAAAAATGAGATATAGGAAAATTCATAGATTTAAATTATGTCCAGGAGTTCGGAGATATTGAAGTACCTATAACAAAATACGGTTATTTTGCAAGGCCTTGTGACTGGAAAAGAAGAAACAGAGCAGAACACCTGAGACACACCCCAAGTCTGTATGATGGTGTGCAAGCTAAAAGTGCATTGAAATACCACACAGGTATTTGCTGCAAAAGGGCTTGATTAAAGTAGTGAATCTGGTAAAGGAACTAGAAACACAGGAGATCAGTTCCCAAACGTCATTAATGTCAGAGATAAACTGGATGCATCATATAAAAGCGTACTCTCCCGACAGCCTGTGCTGCTCCAAATGTTCCCCTGGCTGTGACGTGGAAGATTGATAAAGGAGGCAGATTGTGTAGGAATAATGGGGAGAAGTTTGAAAATGTAAGACCCACTTAGCAACAGTAACAAAAAAAGACAAGTCACTGAGATGGTCTTTAAAACTAGTGAGGCTAAAACTAGTGAGGACAGACACTTTCCTATAGAGGATATTTCTAGGAAAAGGATCGCATATTTTCATGCAAATATATCTAAACTTTTGCACAAATTTCTGTTCCTGTACTGGATCCAAGCAGGATTCCTTCCATGGGAGGAGTTCAATACCATGCACTTTTAGTCCACACAGGGAATTCTCCTTTCACAGACTTTCTTTTGACTAAGAATTCATTGTTGAGAAGTATAAGAAAGGCCATTCACTTGAAACAGCTATGGCTGCTAAAATAGGTACAAGAGGTGCCTAGTATCTATTTTAGATACCAGAAATGCCCGCGAGGGTTTGAGAAGTAGGATTAGACAGAAATATAAATGGAAGGACAGAGAAATAACAGAAAAGATTAACTCAAAACAAGACACAAAAGGGCTATTACAAATATGCTGTCCACAAAGATAAGGTGTCCAGAGGCCTGTTGGTGTGATGAATACTACAGAAAAGTTCCTATCAAGCCTGGCAATCTGCACAGACGGCTTTTGAGTCACTGCCTAAAATGCATGCACAGGACTGGCAATCGGGGAAGAGTTCCCAAATGAAGGCATTCATACAGACAGCTTCAGACCTTATATGACACTAGAGGCAACACAAAGTTATCAAAAGAAGGCTTACAGGCAATATTATTGAAAAAATACACAACAGAAATCTGTGGGCTGTGGTTCAAAGGCCCGTGTGAGCACTCTAGGATGGCAAGAAATGTTACTGATTTGTTTGTCGATCTGTTATGTTCAGAAGTGGCACAAACTGTTTCGCAGCCGTGGTGAAAGGAAGGTTGGCTAGTAGTTTGACAATAAAGATAAACTGAAGAGATACTTTCTGACTGAAGACTGAAGATATTCTTTCTAGAGCACTTAATCAGTCTATTCTTGAAAACACATAGAAGGACATAACACATGGAAATGTAATGTAAAAAAGAATTATTTCAGAGGAAAGCGAGCTGGGTTTTCTGTGTTTTATAGAGAAGATGCCACAATGCAGACAATCCTGAAGATCAGCACTTATCAGATAGATAGGGCATTACATACCAAGCCATATCACCAATTCAGATTAGAGTTTTCTATCTTTACTGACAGACACTTTACAGGTAGCAAAAATAGTGGTGTCAGTGAATTACAACTTGACATGCTTCACAAAATACAGGAGACTCATAAGCATATTCAAAAATGTGAAAGAACAGAGCCTATGGGGATATATCTGAATAGATACAATTTAGGCATTAATCTGAAATTGCATTTTGATAGTATTTAACATCAGAACATACCACAACAGACACTAACTCTGTGCTTTTAGGGGCATGGCATCCCAGAAATTTTGTCTAGCAATGTTCCACTGTTCAGCAGCTAGAACTYGAAATTATTTGTAAGGAATGATTACAATATGTCCCGCCTCATCCAGATGTCCTCAGTTCAATGAGAAGCTGGGCTGAAACTGTTAAAAGACAGTTCAAGTAGGTTGTGGAGCTCAAAAGAATCCCAAACTTGAGAACACCTCTTTGAAAAGTGGCTTATTGCTAGCTGAAACTTTATTGAGCAGACAGTCCCAGTATTCCCAATTCCATCCAAATGACGGCGAAAGATAAAATGGGTCTGAATCATATAATAAATTGCTAACAAAAGTCATACTATAATTAAAATCTTGCAAAGTAGGTCATTTCCTTGGCTCTGAGAGTTGGGKGGGAAATAATCATGCGAAGTACAAACGCTAGAAGGACAGATCCTTAGGAGAAGCGATGGGCAAGGAAGATCTCTGAAAGGAAAAGGGTGAGCATGCCTACAGCCTCTTGGAAAGAAATGGAAAACCAAGGGTTCTGCAATGCTGTCAGTAGAAAGACAGCAGGCATAGCTAGAGCTGAGCCCAGATGCCTCTGAGGAAATCCATGAGAGGTTGTAGAGCTCTGGCAGGACTCACCAATCATCACTACAAAATGTATAAAGATTAACATGTCCTTTACTGGTCTTAAAAGAAGTGGCCATTGAGTCATACGAAGGAGTAAATATAAGAATTGGATGCTGGCCCATTGACAGCGGCTTAGCAGGAAGGAGTGAACTGGCCTAAGCTCTTAGATCCACACACAGACTTGGCAAGAGAATGAGGCAATGAATCATGCTTGATTATGTGGGTTATGATCTTGAACTGCATTATCTCTGTAATCAGCCTTTTATAGCACAAATTCTGATTCCCTGCAGTACTTGCACTCCACACTCTGTGGCCTAGGGCTGGCAGAAAGAGCAGTCCCAAAGCAAAGGGAGTGCAGCTGTAGTTGTTAACTCAAATCAAAACTTGATATTTCTTCCATATAGGTATCATCTTGTAAGTGATAAATATATGTAGATAAKTTATTTATGTCTGATGATCTCCATCAAGACGTAATTCACAGCTATTTTGATCTTACGTTAATCTTGGGTGACTTTGGCAGTGAACTGAGGACGTGCAGTAACAAGAGATGTCGGTGYCTGCTTGGTCTCTTGAGCCACAGTGTGCAGGGGCTTGTATTGGCTCAAGAGTAGAGAGGCTGGGAGGGCTATTGCTTGGGTTTCCCAAGTTTCATCGAGCAGTTTATGGTGTCATTAAACTGTGAGAGACAAAATAAGTGGAAAGAAGTACCTGTGTTTTGAAGCCYGAATTTGTTAGTATACATGAAATGGTAAATATCTTGGGGAAGTTTAAGGTAGTGCCACAAAGTCCAGATAAGTCAGTAGGAGCACTACATGTCTTCCCTTGGGCATGGATGAGGCTCTGGAATACTTCAGTTTTGCTCAGGTCTGATTGTCTTTGTTAAATAGTTCTTTTTGCCATATCAAAGTTTCAGGAGCCTCAAATCAGGACAGACTTTAAAAGACAGAGAATTTTATTTTGTATCTGCAGTTTTGAATGGACAGAGTAATCAGTAARTCATCATTTGTTTTCAGTTGGAGGTTTTACCTATGCAATTTTGTGTGTAAATAAAATATTAAATAGTGTGGTGGATGGGAAAGGGAGAGAAAATATGATTTTTTTTTTTTTTTTTTGTAAATTACTTGGCATTACAATTTTTTTAAAATCAATCTTTGGATAAATTATATCAGCTTTCCACACACAAATAAGCTCAAGATCTTTCCTTGCTCTTCCACCCCCATTTTGTATAGTTACAGTTATAGTTATTTTTATCCTTTTTATTTTATTTAGCAAAGAAAACCTACTCTCTTTCATGGATAAATTTAGAAATTACTCCCAGAATTTCAGGAAAGTTTTTCAAAAAACGGATAAAAACAGAGATAGCTACATAACAGTATGTGACCTGCGCAAGATCCTGCAAGAATTTGACTATTTCCTTGACTATGAGCAGTTCAGTGATCTTCTAAATGGGTTTGTACAATTATTTGCTAAATGTCTCTTCAGTCACATCTAGCAGAGGCTGTAAGCTTGTACTCGTGTTAAACATGTAAGATGCTTTGCTAAAAGCAGTGGAGCTACCCACATGCCTGCCCATGAGTGAAAAATCTTTCTAGGCTACCGGCTTTGCAGGTAATGAGGGTGAAATGGCTTCTTACATAAAACTAGCATGTTCTGGATATGTGTATTTGTTTGCTAGTTTGTTTTCTTTATTTATTTCAATTTAATAGAGCAAATGTGTGAAAGAGATCCTGTTTCAAATGGGAGTAGAATTATAACAGACTATAAAACAGTAATAATTTTCAAATGCTGCCGCCATGAAAAGCTGTGTGTTTGATGTTGTRTGTTAATATGAGCAAGAAGAAAAATTTGTATGTGGAGGCTGAAGACCACAAAGGACCTGATCCAACACTGGGTAGTTGGGGTACTCCCAGCCCCCCAAGGATCACACTTTTGGCACCACTGGGCTTTGTGGTCTACAGCTTGCCAGACCAGACTGTTTTACGTTTGAAATAAAATTAACAAAGTCTTTTCACAGTTCACCTTTAATTGAGTGATCAACTTTTTTTATGAATTGAAACCCTAATAAGAATCTGCTGCTTGTTTCTTTCTCAAAGACCTCTTGATGATAAACACCTCTATTCATTGTAATTTTGTGCAGATTATTCCTTTCTTGATCCAAAATAGTCTTTTCTAAATAATACAGAGTAGATTAGCATATGCATTTAGTTTTATTACTAAAATTTTAATGCCCACTTGGCAATTTATTTCTCTGCTGAAATGGTGTTGATTATTTCCTTTTCCACACACTGTCTCCAATATTGGAGCCAGCTTGACACAGGGTAGTATGTGGGAGTGCTGTGCAGCTGCAAGATGCAAAATCAGGGCTCTTGAATATTATTTCCTTACTAGCAGATACTGGGTCTGTAGCTAATTTCTTTTCCAGCCTTTTATAAAGCGTCCTCTTTGTTTTACTGGCTCTCGCCATTAATTAGACATTTTTGTAACTGGATATTCCGGTGATTGGTAGCTGAAGCATTGGTCCCTAGTGAAAGAGATGATAAAAGTACATTACAGTAATTCAGCCTTACATGAGAAATTTATTAGGTAGTGGGGACAACTTCGCTGTCAAGGCTTGACTCTGTAGAACTTGCCTTGACCGTAACTCTCATTACAGAGCTTAATGCAAGCATGAAAAATCCAGCCTTTCCCCTGCAGCATAGGAATTTTCTATCCATTACATATATGCAGAGAATCTGCAGTTCTGATAACTGCCTATAAAATTAATGAAGTCTATTAAAATCCCCTCTGCAGTTGGTAACTCTATATCAAAAAAACTAAGTGTGATCTAGCCTGGAGACTCTCCGGTTGTCTTTCAACGGTAGGAAATTCCATAAACTGACTACGCTGGATACTTGCTGGGGAAGCAAGTGCAGAACATGCCCCTGCTATTGTCCTGCTGGGTGGTAATGAGTTCTATGGGCTCATTAAACAAGCCCGATGCCTTCTTTTTATATTTGTCACAAATGCACCAGGTGCCATTTCATTGAATGGTAACGTGCCACAGGACTTGGGGAGAAAGCAGTTTTTCAGGTTGTAGTTAATGCTATTCATCCCAACTTAATCTTTGATGCTAAATAACCTATATTTTGCATTTGTTCTGTGTGTATAAAGCTTGCCTTAATTCCAATCTTTTTGTGGTATAGCCTTCTTGAATAAAAATTAATTTAGTTTTGTCACAAAGTCCTCTGCAAAAAAAAATCCCCAAATCATATGCAAAATCTCGTCTTTCCCCATGCTGATGTTTGATGCAAAAATATATTCACGGTTGTTACCCGGAGCTATCTCTAGTCAGATACATAACCCTCTGAATTTCTGATGTGACAGAACATGAAACTCCCCAGTGCCCGTGATCTAGCAGATGTTTTAGCTGACAGCAGAAATTCAGGAGCTGAGAGAGCAGTCTGGAGAGACTTTGGGCTGGACTGATCACTTGGCATTTTATTACCCACACTTTAGGTTAAAACCTCTGAACTACTTCCTCTGACATCAGGGCCAAGAATCTGTAAAATAATTTTCTAGTTGCCTGCCAAACCAAGCAGAATGAAATACTTCCTTCAGAAGGAAGTTATGTCCTAACAGCACAAGCGTAAGGAAGAACTTTGAATGGAAACCACTATGGTTTCCTTACCATGGGCAGAGAAGCCAAGTGAGTAGAGACGAAAGCTGGTAGACCCATGCAGTGCAGCATCGAGCTGTAGCAGATGTAGTAGCTTATGTGGAGCAACCCTTGACCAGACTCCTTGTGGACTGCTTCTTTCTGTAGAAACTGTGATAATCATGACATCCTGGMAGGCTTGAGCAGCTCTTCAGACCTCCTTTGCAGAGTAGAAAGTGAAGGAAAGTACCAGTGTGATGAAGATCTGCTTCTCAGCAGAGTCTGTTAGACAGTTATTACACTGTGACAGGGAGAGAAGATCCTAGGACAAGGTTGAGAGTCTCCATGTTCTCTGTCCATGCTCATCATATTCACCAGCAGTTTGGGCTCAAAGTCCTGTGCTGTGCTTAAAAAACATCAAATGAATGCTGATGGACTTGAACAGTAGACACTTTGCCCCATGCTAAAGCACTCTTGGGCATCTTGAAGTTGGCCTAAATCTGTGTCTTGAGAATGTGGTTGCATTAACCGATAGGAGTGATGTCTGAGACTTGAGAAAGAGCTTTGGCTGGCGCTAATAGGACTTGCACAGTGGCAGCCCAGGCGTATCCTGAAGTGCTGCTGAAGTACAAATAATGCATCATCATAATTAATCAGTACAGACAACAGTGAGATAATTATTTAAAATCATTGATATCTCTTTCTGTGCTTTTCTTTTAGCTTAGGAATCAGCATTCATGACAGCAAGCTCTCTTATTTTGATTTCCTGAGAGCAATTGAGGATGGCAGAGCCTCTAAATACCAACAGAGACAAAAGCAGGCTGCACCACCTGCAAGCTTTGCAGCTCTCAGCTTGGAAAAGACCCTAATTAAGATGAAAGAAATAGTTGCATCATCTTATGATTTGTTGTACAAGGTAAGTTTCGTGTGGTCATCACATTTTATTGAACCTTTTTCTTCCTGCCTAGCTGGGGACCAGCCTAAAGGCTTAGAAACTTTTCTGCATGCTACCAGAAACCTTGACCTGTGTGGAAATGGCATCGTCTGACTACTGTAGATGCTTTATTTGATTGCATTCTGGTAATTCCATTACCAAAAAAAAAAAAAAAAAAAAAAAAAAAAAAAAAAAAAAAAAAAAGTTATAAAATCAAGCCTAGAAGTGTTGTGACTGCAATAAGAAAAAGAGATAACAAATTATCAGAACCTCTCTCTCTCACACAATTCCCTTTTTCTCCTCCAGTTGCCTGTAAATTGTGTGGTAGGCATGTAAATAATACATCCCTTCCAAAAAGCTCTTCTGAATGTCTACAGCTAAGATTTATAGCACGTAGCTCTGACGTGCAACTACAGTCAGGAGTTATGGTTTCTAAGTGTGAGATGAAAGGATCAGGTAGCTGCTGAGGATGCAGACCTGCGAACAGAGGTGAGCACGTTACGGCAGCTGCGGAAGTTGGCACCTGCCTACCAGCTGGGCCAGTGCAACTATCTGCATTTTTGCTCCTGTCCCCCTCTCATTCTGACACAGAGAGGTAAAATGCTTTAGCTGTCAAGCAGCATATTCTCTGATTTTCCCATTTGTAAAATGAGGACAATAAAAATAACCGCKTTTCTCTGGAGTTTTGAAAACCCTGAATGAGAAATGCTGCATATTAAGTAGTTGTAGACTGTTATGTCTGAGTCTGCAGAAACACAGTGGCCTCTGGGAGTAAATAGTTCTTGATGCCACAGTGAGGATGTTTTCAAGCATAGCAAAGAATGATCAAAAAACCTTGAAGAAAACCTTCCTATCTCAAAAATCTGCGGAGCCAATTCAGCTGCACCTGCAGCAGGAGAGCCAGTGCAAGCCCGTGGCTGCTGAGGTAGCTGCCTGCCTGCAAAACTGGTCTTGCTGCCTCCCATTCCCCAGCAATGTGGTCCTCCCAGGCACCGTGTGCCAGCACTAGGGCTTGGGTTCTTCTTTTCACCAATGAAATTTCCATCTATGGACTCGGTCATGCAGGTAAATATAACACAGGCTTCCAACAAAGATGTCACAAATGGTGTCAATGGTGYGAAAAAAAATATTACTGTGGGAGATGCTGTTCCTTTAAAGAAACTTCTTTTCACCCTGTCTGGAGACTTCTATAATGCTTATAAACTTATTGGGGTCATCTTGCCATTTTTGGCCAGATAGTCTTATTATGAAACAGAATCCTGAAATATTCATTTAGGCACTTAAATTTTTTGCAGTAAAGCAAAAAATCCTTACTGTGTTCTGCATTATTAAAATAAGAAATAGATAAAATCAATAGCATGGGTTAATGTTTGTTAAATTTTAATGGGGGACATGAGGCTTCCTGGAGGACAATATCTATCTTCTCATCCCTGGGTGTCTTGGGAATGGGGGAGTTTTGTCTGCTGGGTGTATGATTTGAAGATGACCTCTGGCATGAACAAAGCATCCATATGGTCTTTTAAAATGGCAGYAGGTGGATAAAATAACTTTGGGGACTAACCTAGTTTCTCCATGGAGGGCCACAGTTTGTCCATCATGTTGAGGAAAAGCAGAACTTCTCTTACTTCCTTATGTGACATATATAAAGTTCTCTTTTGCTTTTGCAAAAAGAAATGCAAAAGAAATTGCAAAAAAAAACCCAGCCATTTTTTGGACAGTAGTTGTTGCTACATATGTGATAAGGAGCACAAGCTTTTAACAAAATATTTTGTTAGAAGGAGGCAGGACTGAAAGTACAGTTCCTAGAGCCCAACTACATTCAAAAAATCCGTCACATTCAATCCACAACCTTTGTACAAATCTTTGAAAGCTTATAACAAATAGCTAAAGAGTTCAGACAGGCCATCTCGCTTAGCGTAATCATTTTCCACCCATTTTCACCATACTTCAGTACAGTGCATACTACACACTCAGTGATTTTTTTCCGTAATTTCTTCAATATATTACTGAAAATCCAAGTATCTTATTAAGAAACTCCTAATAGGATCCTCTTTAATACTCTAAGGATTCCTTTCCAATAACTTTAGGATATTCTAGTATTATTTTACCACTCAGCCTGGTTCATGCACATAAAAATAATACATCTTTAAATCCATTATTTATAACGGTTATAATACTAAAACATAAAATATGTTGTATTATGCCCATATGCTACTTTGCTAGAAAACTAATAGGACTTTAACCTGAAGTTTCGAATGTTGCAATATTCATTTGCATTTATGGGGTCAATGATTTATAGATGCAATATTATAAATAAGTGGCAGAATAAAGCAAGGGGACACAGTAAATTGGTAGCAATGAGATGGAGTGAGAAGGGACATGAACCACAGCTTTCCTAGACCTCAGTGCTTCTTTCACTCAGCTCAATCGCTCTTGCGTGAGCTGCTGAGCTGCTCCCTAACTACGGCTTCTGAAGCACTCTGCAGCTGCAACTGTCATAAACCTCATCTGCTCCCGCCGAGAACCTTTTGGAGATCTCCCATGAGGGACAGGCAGGGTGGCTTGTGCAAGGGAGGGCAAGAGCAGAGCGAGGAAAGCTGCAGGATGAGCTGAAGCTGTTCCAATGGGAGCAAGGGCCTATCATATAGAGTACACAGAGAAAAACAAGCACGCTCAGCCAAGGACAGTTGCYCTTCTTTCAGTAAGAAAAGGCAAATAAATATGTTCTAGGGTGTTTAATGACAAATATTTTAAATAAAAATTATTTAAGGCAGCCCTCGAATATTTGTTTTGTTTCCTCTCTTGACCTATTCTGCAATGTTTGGATATTTTATATGAGCCCTGCTGCTCTTACTGCAGGTTATTGTTTATTTGCATGTTTATGYGTTATTATGAGCACATTATGCATAATACTGAGCACAAAAATGMAGGCTTTTTTGCCTTACATAAGAAAGTACATCTTGTTTTTAAAACAATGAGAAATTTGTTACCAGGTAGGGCTCCAGTAAATATTTTCTGTTTGTCTATAAAAAAACTGCACGTAAAAAGTATACAGGTCTCAAGATTTTCCAAGATTTTTTAGCTGTAAACAGCTAAATGGATACTAAGGAAGAAACCTATTTAAAATGCTCAGCTTTTCTCAAGTAATGTCTTTTTTTTTTTTTTTTTTTTTTTTTTTTGCTTCTCAGGCATTTTCTCTGTTTGATAAAGAAGATACTGGGGTAATTAAAACAGTGGAATTTCGACAGATACTTGACCATTTCTGCTTTAAATTATCAGACAAACAATTTAGGCACCTTCTCAAGAACCTTAAACTTTGTGAGGATTTGACAGTTAACTGGAAGATTTTCCTGAAAAACATCAGCCTTCCCTCAGAGGTAGGAAGAGCTACCAAACTATAAGATACTTCTTTTAAAGATAAGATCTAATGTGTTAAAAGTGACTGTGTTACTAAACATGTAAATTGATTTATCATTCTGTTGTTCCCTCTTGAACTGCATGAAGTCCTAACCTCCTTATAAAGTGTTCTCCGAGGGTAACCCTTGCACTGATGTCAATACAGGTTTGTCTGTGTGGCAAGCTGAAAGCATGATCACAGACACAGCCAAATTCCCCACCTGGACGATGTAGGATTCGCAAATACACCCAGTGAGTTTTGCCCGGTGAATTTTGTTCTCCCATCCGTGAGGTGCTGCCTGAGCAGGGGTGCGTGGAGTGGGAGGCCAACAGGTTCGTGCTGCCAAACAGTTATAGCAGTGCACATGTCACAGGAAGGGGTGTTATATGGAGATGTAAGTACGGGACACCAAAGGATGGAGAAGATGTTGCTTGCAGTCATAGACAGAATATTCACTTCTGCAGGTTGCAGGTTGCAGGAACAGATACTTCAGCTCCTGCTCGCATCCTTTTACAAGTGCAGAAATCCTCAGCACAGGTGTAAATAGCAGGAGCATTTCAAAAGGTGCAAGTTAAAGCAGACTCTCTCCTATTTGAATTTCACAGTCCTTCCCTTTCCTCTAGTTTCTGCTGTCTTAGACTGCCTTGCCCAGCGGTAAGTGGGTCTGAGTGTAAAGGAGTAGAAGTGAGTTTACCTTGTGGTTCATTTCTGAATTTGGCTGAGCATGTGAAAGCCACATACTAGCATTTTACATAGCGGTTCTAAAAAACCTTAGTGGTAGCCTGCATCTTATCCTCCAAGAAGTAACTCGGCYTCCCTTTCAAAATATACGCTTGAAGCACAAATAAAATGAGAAAAATAATAACCATCACCCAATGGAAAACCATATAAAAAGCCTAGCACTTTATTGCTATGGCAATAGCAGAATGTTGTGCAAAACAAATCCGTATAGAACTATATGGTAATTAAATCTTGTGTCATAAAGCAGGAACTGAGAAACCAGTGAGGTCCTTATCTGAGTCTGTTAATAATCCAAGTCAAAAAGTCTGCTCGGCTTTAAATAACTGCAGGGCTTCAGTGATTCACAAGAGGAAAAAGAGAGACTTCAGTTTTCAAATGAAGGAGGACCCATAAAGCGCTTTGAAATGTTTGTAATGTGTTATAACCTTAGGACTGTGCCATGGAGTTTATGCATGTGTCAGTGACCAATAGGCATAGACTCACCAGAGTGTTTATTATAAGTGAAATTTCGTTCAAAATTTTATAATGTTGCTTAAATGTATTTTATTCTCTGTAAATTTAGCATTAATATTTATAGTAGTGCAACTGTTACGTTGTCCTTAGTGGCAGGAGTACATTTAATTATAGTTACTTAAAGAATAGTTGGGAATTTTAAAATATTTATATTTTCAGCTTATTAAAATTAAAGTGCAGTCTTAACAGATATAATAGATTACATGGTTCTCAAGTGTAAAACACTAGAATGCTTTGTATAAGTTAAAAAAATGCCATATTTCCCCTTTATCCTGCTTATATGCTGATACAGTTCCAGTAAATTTCAACTAAGTCATTACAGCACAAAGACCAATTGTATGGAATATAAAATGTCCATATAATTATTTTAAGAATGTACTGGTTTGCTGTAATACTGACCCACTGGCAGGCTTACGTGCTAACTTCAGAACAGGAAACTATTTTTGGTGAGGAAGATTTTGCTGCAATGTCTCTTCATTTTCCAAGTAGGTGCTAAGCCTTCATAACAACTTGAACAAGCTGTGCACTCCCAGGATCAGCCTCTGCAAGAGTGCACATTTTAACTTCAAATCTCTTTAACGGTCCTTCCAGACCCTGAGTGCTTTCCACCTCAACTTATAAGAAAGAAAATAAGGCACCTTCACATCCTTCGAGAGGCACTTGGTCCATGAACGGAGTGGAGCCTGTAGTACTTCTTTTACTGCAACACATTCTTCCTGAACACTTTTCTGTGCTGCGTCAGGGGTAGAGGGGATAAACCTATCATTTAAATCCCMAATTAATCTACATGGGAACATTTTTTTAAAAAACGAAACAATCACGAACCAGGCTCATAGTGCTGTTTTAGCTTCTAGATGCTCTCAAATCTCATGTTTTCCATTTAAGTTCAAACCAAAATTCCCCACACCTTTGCAATTTCATCCCTCCCTGGGTTCGCCCCTATCCCTGGGCTCCTGTGCAGGTTTTGAGAGAAGACTGGTTGTGAAATTATCATCCAAACATGCTACAATTTTGGCCTCTAAAGTATGTAACTAAATTAATGAGGTATGCAACTCATTCAGGCACATTAGGAAAACTTATCATTACACTATACAATTTCATCACTGAAGTATATTAAAAAGTAACAAGTAAAGTATGCAGCTTGATCATTAAAGTATGGAAAATTTACTGAACTAGTAAAGTATGAGCCTGGGATGACTTTTGTCTCAAATGGCACCTCATAAATAAAACCCACAACCACAAAGGCAAACATTCACAAACCCAAAAGGCAAACTGGTTTAAATTGTATTTTAAGCTTAGAAAACAGCTGAATAAGGAGAGATGAAATAATATTGCGGAAATTATTTCTAAATGCTTTATGTGTTGTGCAGATCTTTTGATGGCTCTGACATATTCTAATGAGCTTTACATTCTGATGAATTCTCTGGAAAACACACTGCAGCATTTGTAGGTCTGATCTGAYTTATATGAACAGGGTTCCCACTGAATCACAGCTCTGTAGGGTTATACCATACAAAAATAGAACTAAAGAAATRTAAAGTATTTTAAGCAATATGATTGTAGCTTAGTATTCAGGTAAGAAAGAACTGTAATTGCATTACTGTTAACCAACTGCAAAAGAGCTGAGAAAGGAAACAGTGAAGACCTTGTCTTAGGTGGGACGCTGTTAACCACCAGGGTTACAAGTACCCTCTGAGGGTACTTGTGAAAAATCCAGAGCCTGAAGCTGGGAATCTGCATCATGAACCTTTCTTGGCTGCCAGTCTGATGATTAATGATTAAGAGCGCCTAAGTGGAGCTCTTATATATTAAATTAGGTGTCTAATACAGTCTGGCCTAATGGACACCCCAGTTGGGAATGAGACACCTCCTTCCCCCAAAGAAAATATGCTCAAATGTCTTTTCCTAGCGTGAGCCAATTTACTTGGGGAAGGGAAAAATTAAAGAACGAGTGTTAAAAGTTGTTGGTCAGGGAGTTCTGGCCTTGTCTTGAAAGCAACGTTTGTACATGGAATTAGCAGCACAAATCTAGGGAGTACATGAGGAAAGGAGGGCTTGTGATCGGGCCAAATATTTTCACCTTGAAGCTGTGGCTGCCGAGTGGTTTTTTGAAAGCTTAGTAGATCTTGAACTGCCAAGTCCAGCAGTGGGGAGAAAGAGAGTGGGTCAAGCTGAGGAGATGGCAGAGAGATCAAGCAGGCCATGGCTCGTGCCCCTTGAAGGGCAGGAATGGAGCTGATAAGMTGATTTCATCCAAAATGATGACATTTGGAGATCACTTGGATTTCCAGGATTTTTTTTTTTTCCAGAAAAGATTGTAGAACAATATCAACCCAGGAATTCCCTTTTGCTTTTGTTTCTACCCCAAATTTTCTATTTTTGTTTGCATTTAGCTTTCTGTTCTGCGTTTTCCTGCAGTCTGTCTCTTTCAGCAGAGTAGCTTCTTGACCAGCTGAGTGAATCTTATTTTCAGCCAGTTCTACCTKCTCTGTCCGCATGCAAAGCTGCAGTGGTGTGTGTTTGTGCTTGCTGCCGTTCTTGCCACGGAGAGGAAGCTGCCGCTCTGGAAAGAGCGGCAGCTTCCTCTCCGTGGCAAGAACGGCAGCAAGCACAAACAGATGCCCTGCATGATTCCCCCAACACAGCAAGCACTTATCTCTTCTTGAAGCCTGTCACAGCGAAAACTCACCTCCCAGGGCTGAGCTCCAGGACTGTGTTCTGCTGCTTGCTGGTGAAAAGTGATGAGGGGCTCTCTCGATCTCCATTGGGCACGTTGCTGGTGCAGAGCCTACGTGGTGAAGCCATCCCTCTCACTTCATGTTGTTCCTTCTCCATGGTGATGCTAGTTTGAGTTTCCCCTCTTTGCCCCTGCTCTTTCCCACACATCGTTTCTCCCCATCATTACAGTGTGTTGTCCCTCCTTGTGCCAGGAGAACTGTTTTGGAATCCTCTCCCGTGACAGGACCTGCTGGAGCTGTGCCTTCGTTTCCTCCTTTCTTCCGAGTGGTCAAAAAAACAGTCCCATGAAAGTACCTGGAGGAAACAATAGTTTCCTATTCCACAGCCAGAACTGGGCAGAAAAAAAACATTTCTTAAAGCAAAATCCTTGACAAGCTATTTCAACTCTCCTGAAATGCATCTTTTGGAATTTAAATTCCACCAAAAAAAAAAAAAAAAAAAAAAGGGCAGACAGCAAAATTTTAAAATAGCAAGTTGTTCCTTGGGATGGAGGTGCCTTTCTAGGTTGCTCTATATTTATCAGGAGAGGAAGGAAAGGAGAAAGTAGAGATTATGGTTTTGAGACCAGGACATAAAATATATTGCATACGGGCCAGCCGCTCTGCTGCTGTCCAGACTCGCTGGACACTGCAGTGGGGCGTAGGGAGTAGTCACTGTGGCACCATGGTAGGTCCAGTTCTGCGCTGGGGAGCTCGCTCTGTCCCCCTTTGGTGGCTCTGGGTACCTGGCCTGGATGTTGCACCTAGAGAAGCTAGGTTGAACCGAGCTTGCTCCTTCTTCTTGGGAATATTTAGCTGCGTTCTCACCATACGGCCCTAGTCAAGTTGCAGGCAGATCTTGCCCAGTGTTGTTTGCCTACTTCTTTGTGGGTTTTTTTTTGTTTGATCGAAGGCATGGAGCACTCCTTGTTTTACTCTTACCTTCTATCTGAAGAGAAGTGTTTCATAGGTCTACCTATCCCTGTTGGTGGATAATTTGACCTTGGCTCTGAATCTGCTTTTTGCAAACAGCTGGTCCAAAGGAACGTGGTACGWTATAGAATGACCCTCAGTGGAGTCTTCATCTTTTATTTATAATTGTGTGGAATGTCGCGAGCCCTTGTTGCACACATCTATCAAATCCTTGGCAGGCATAAATCAGCACACAGGTTAATGGAGCCAGACTGATCATTGCCAGATGAGGATACAGCTCTCCTTGTGACCCAGTGATAAAACATGAGCTTCTCTGTAACACTGCAACCTTTAATTCGGAACCTGAAAGTGAGAACTGGCCAGCTGCTGGATTGCCAGTTGTGTGAACAGCAGCCCAAGGTGCGTTCCTGATCCAGTCCACGCTTGGGCAACTAGCTCTGCTGCTTCCACGTGTTTGTAGGGAAGAAACTTTTACGGAAAATAACTGGAAGATGCCTGTCATTAGGGATGGGTCCATGGGCTAAGCACACAAACCTCTAAACCTGTATCAGCTGTCAACAGGATGATTGCTTCTGGCAAAGGTCATCCTTGTGTGCAAAGAGGAAGATGCGCCCTTTTCAATAGGTGGACTTCTCCTGTAAGCAGCTTCCCAAGACCTTTGCTTCCTGATCTTCACCAGACAGGGAGGGAGGTTGCATTTGTGGTAGGGCAGAGAACAAAACCAGACAAAGTGGGATTTATCGTGATGCACTGATGTACTTTACAGTTAAAATAAAATAAAAAAAGCCTTCCGCTATCAGGAAGGAGCTGCAGGAATGGAGCTTCACTGAGCAGGTGTGGGTGGTAGAGTCTTCTTTTATTACTAATCAGCACCACTGTGCCATTTATAGCAAAGGACACAAGGCTGTGCTTTCTAAASAACAGAAAACCAGCCCTGTCTTGAGCAGCAAGCGATCTCCTTCGCGTGGCTCATGAGAAAAGCCTAACAAAATGCTCACAATCATGGTGAAACCAGAGGTGAAAGTGAATTTGCATRGTCTTCCCAAGGCACTCCCCAGTCCTGTGGATTTGCATGGTCCTCCCAAGATGCTCCCCAGCTCCGTAGGAGCAGTGGGAAGGCAGGGAAGAGCCACAGGGTGTTAGAGGCCTCCTGCTTGCTCAGGTGCTCCCTAGGATCCCGAGGCTGAGCAGGACACTCAAGTGTCGAGGCCACCACGGACCCCGGCACAGGCAGCGGTGGCTGGTGGTGCGTGGCAGATAGCGTGGACCACAGGAGCAGTCTACAGAGGCCTGGCCTCTATATGCAGAAACAACGTAAATAAAAGAGCTGATGGGATGAGTGAAGAAAATTGCAGTGAATATCAGCAAATCAGGTAAAAGAGAAATAACCCCTTTTATTCACTTATTTCTGAGTAAAGCTTTCCTATGAATGATTTGGAAGCACTTCTTGGACCTAAAGTGCAAGGCTCAGAGGTAGGTTAATTCGTGTTACTCCTTGCACTCAGGAGGYTAGACCAAGACAGCAAAGCTAAGAAATGCACCCACAGTGTGTATAATGTTAGCATCAGAGATGGCACTGAAATATCTGGATCCCCAGGACATAGTGGGAAATCTTAGGTTCCAGTTCTGTTAATTTGGCTATAGGTAATTATTTGTGTTTTAAATAATACAACTATAAACATACACTGAATGCACAGTAGACATGCAATGCAATAACTGAATAGAAAAGATTCTCCAGTTTTCAGTCTATGCTTGAAAGCAGAACAAGTGATCATTTTTTCATATTGACTTTCTARCAATTTTAAGATCAAAGTGGAGGAGGTCTTATGAAATAAACAAAAAGCTCCTGAAATGAAATAAATTGGGGAAGCTTGCGCTTTCAARGCATGTTTCTTTAAAAGATTGCAGGCAATAATAATTTCCCTAAGCCTCTGGCTTTATTAGAATAATTAAAAACAGAGATGTAGGGCTTTTTAGTTTCTCAGACTGTCAGAAACACGGAAAGTGTGCCCCGCGCTGCACCGTGCCTGGCAATCTTCATTTCCTGACAACAGCATGGACTCGATTCCATGTCTACTTGCATAATTCCACCTCTCATATTTCTCCTCTTAATAATACAGCTGTAATACCTACCCTGCTGATATGTTTTATGTAAAGCATGGTTAATATTGAGAAGTCTTATTTGCATCTGAAGAGAGCGGAGTCTTTCTGATTAGGAGACAGGTTTCGTGTTGTTCTGTAAGAAACATATTTTCTTGTCCATTCTGTCCAGTAATCATGTGAGAAGTGACAAGGAAACGGGAGCGCAGGGCCAAAAGCCATCTGTTTCTCTTTTGGTATTTCATATTGCATGGAGCAGGAAGGTGGCAAAGCCTATATGCTTAAACGTAGAGGTATAAAATATAATAGCAACATTTAACCTCCTGCAAAGAAATACCTTTGAAGCAAAAACATTTTTTTCTGTTAAGCAGGTCCTGTTACCACAGCTAAAACCGGCTGCCACTTGTGTTTATGAAAACACTGCTTTCAAGATGTTCAATGTACTTAGTTTAGGCAGTGCGCTGTGTGGAAAGTTGGCTTCCACTTCTGAAAACAAGTTGTTTCATAATTCTGATATGTTTTGTTTTTATTATTATTCCATATTGTGCCATTGAGACTAATTTTATAAGTAAAACTTGGTTCCACTTTAAAAAATGAAAATTGCTGCTGCTTCTGGAGGTAGAAAATGAACATTGACTAGACTTCACAGAYTTTACTTTTATGAAATGTAGCTTTCTGCAAGCACTGGGGGATTTGGGTGTTCTCAGGATGTCCATACAAAAACCAAGTACTGATTTACTCTGCAAATCGTTTATTCAAGGCAGACGTGTTTTGTAGTTTTACTTCTGCTTGCAGGGTGAACTTGGACTGATTTTACTTGTGGTGTGAATTTTCCCCCTGCAGGATGTGTGATAGGGAATTTAGTCAGGAATGCAGATGAGGCACATAGGGACATGGTTTAGCAGGTATGGTGTTGAAGGGTATACAGTTGGGCTCGATAATCTCGAAGGCCATTTCCAACCCGAATGATTCTATGATTCTATTATTCTGTGAATGGGTTTTAATGGTGGATTTTCGAAGCAGTTCACTGCTGTTGTGATGCAGTGTTGATGTGTTGATGTGGGTGATGCAGTGTTGATGTGTGCATCTTGCTCTAACACTAGCACACTTACCTAGCCACTGCCACCTGGTACGTATGTACATTTGCAGCCTTCAAGAAAAGTATATAGAAAATATACTACAGAAAATACATCTGGAACTTAGTCATGAAGGGGAAATAACTGCCTTCTTCATTTGAGGACTGATRACCCTTTCAAAGCAGTAAGATTTTCACTGCATGCTGAAGATTTGTCAGATGAGAAGAACACCTTTGGGATATTTGGGCCAGTTAGCACTCAGTTCTGTTTTTTCTGTGTTGAGAAACAGCTCTTTGTAAGCTCACCCCATTTTTTAGACCTTTGTAGAACTGTAGGTCACTCTTGGAAGTCTGTGCTTTTGTTGGCCTGTCACCAGTTGGATCTCGTTTATAGAGCTCTCTCTCTCTTTTTTTTTTTTTTCCTTCCCTTTAGCTACTTTTATATGGCCCCTTTTCTCTTTTGTGGTCTAAGCCAGAATTCCTGGAAGGAGGTTTGACTGCCTGCGGGATCTCCGAGGCCGCCTCCTCCRAGGCCTTTTCCCTCGCCGACTGGCYGCCTGCCACCYCGGCACTGGTAATTTATTTGGTGGATCCATTAGTGATTCCGTGTGTATGTTCTGTCTAGACCGAGGAAGGGCAAAAAGTCACCCTCCCTAAATCTTCGCGGGAGCTGTCGGAGAGAGGCATCCTCTCCCAGATACGCGACGCAGCGGCAGCCGCTCGCTTTAAAACCATTGCAAAAGCATTCAAGGATATTGACTCTTCCGAAGATAACACGGTGTCTAAAGAGGAGTTCTGGGATATTTGCAAACGGCATTTGCTGCTGCTGACTGAAGAACAGGTAAGAAAGCTATTTTATTTGGTGGTGTTAAGTGTACTGCCGGGTAAATTGTGTGTGGCTGTAGGAATGTGTTTGCATAGTGTTGAATGTAGGCAAGCAGTTTAACAGTTGGGATGAAATGAAGATGTTTTAAGACTATCACTGCAGGAACATTTGTTGTTACGTTTGTGGGAGATGAGCTTTTTTGTTGTCTCTGAGTACAGTTGGGAACTATGATAACCATAGGCTTTCTGAAACAAAGTCACGGAGATACTATTGCTAATAGCTAAGTGTGAATTAAAGCTCTCTTCCACTAGCCCCATAGCTGGGTACTTAGTATTTTTTTTCAGTTTTAAGCCCATTTGCTTTTAGTTGATGGRGAGGAAAGCACACTCAGCATGGAATTAAAAGCACTTCCATGGGGATCTGATGCAAATCCCTTTTTCTTAGCAGCTCTTTTGGCCTCTTCCCTTGGACAAAGAAAGGGRCAAGTGTTTGACATTTCCTGGCCACCTCTCAGTGACGTGCCTGCATCCAGATTCCCCTGGATCAGCCKCAGCAGAGCTTCTGTACTCTTGAGTTTATCTTGAGGGACTTGTCATGACATACATCTGGCAGTAYAAACTATCTGACATGCCCAGTGCTAATGTCAGGGGAGCCTGAGGGCTGGTCTTTCATAGGAGCCTGTTTCTGCTGAGCTTAGGATGAAAGAAACCTTTTTTGTTAAAGTCTTTGTTAACGCTGTCTCAGTGTGATTTTTCCTAGTCCGAAGAATAATAAACCAGAAGGGACCTTGGCTAGGAGATTTCAGTTTTTGCCCAACAGCGCTCTAACCTTCGTGTTCAGCACAGTATCAGTGTCACTTGGCAGTGGCAGTGTCACTTGGCAGCAGACTGAAAGACACGGAGCCCCCAGACCCACTTGCATGGCTGCAGCACAGAAAACTATTGCAGTGCTTTGCTCACTGCAGATCCATTGCTTGGCTCTCTACTGCCCACCTAGCAACTTGGACTATATGTCGCAGGCAAGAGTGGGGCCTGCTTACAGAAATGTGATTGCACAATCTGCTGTATTATCAGGCAGCACAATGCAGTCGAGAAGATGCAGATTAAAGCATTGAAAAAAAATCAGAGTGTTTTCCATGTCTCCCTTGAAAATCACAAAAAAAAGAACAAATGGCCTCTGTGCTGTAGCCCTAACCATCCTGCTTTTGGTGAGACACCAGATACAAGTGCCATATCTGAGCCTAGAGCATCAACACCAAGTTAAAACTTAGGTGAAAAATTGGTTATACTCATTCCTCCCCCTTGAAAAAGACTGAGTCAGGGAGTCCAGACTGAGCTCACAGCTGAGCTCTGGCCTAGGAGAATCCACAGACTCCACACAGAGTTAGGACAAATCTCTTAGGTTTTCTTTTATTTCTTTGGAAGTCCTCCAGACTAGATTGTGTCTACATTATGCCCCAAAGAAGGGAAGTAGGAGCTATTTTACACTTAAAGGACCTCAGAGAAGTGAAGGAAAAAACAAAAAAACAGTAGAAACTGTCATCCATGATAGCAACTAGATGCCGGCCTGAGGAATCTCATTTATATAAGCAGCAGCCTCTGTGTGAGTGCGACTCAAGCGCCGTATCTCCAGAGATATTTTGATTTTGACAGGCCTCTCAAAGATACGCCGACGTAGATGTACATGAAGATGCCCCAGGAGAGCCTTCCAGCCTGGGCACGGGCTTTGCCACCGCTAATCCCAAACCCTGCTGTTGGGGCTGTTGTCACCGCACACAGCAGATGCCTCCTCTTATCCTTTCCTGAGTGATACTCAGTTATTAGCAAGGCTCAGTGGGAGTCTCTGCAGAGTTGTGCATGAAGAGTTTATCCCCGATAATATTTGATATCCCTGATATCCCTGACGTTAGGCTCACAATCCTGGGACCTTTTCCAGAAGCTGAGGTGTTTATTAATATCCTGCCCACCAAAATCCCCCTTTCCATTACTGGCACTTTCTTCCTCCCTGCTTGAACTACTGCTACTACTACCGCTATTTGCAGCCCCCCAACTGGCTACATTTCCTTGGGTGCTGGAAGAGTCACTCACTGCAGCTAACCCAGCTCATCGGGGGTATTGTTCCATTTAATTGAAGTCTGCAGAGCACTTTGAGTTCCTCGTGTGAAGRGTGAAGTATAATCACGAGTGTAAAATGGGATTGTTTATAATTCATAATGTGGCAGCAGCCAGGCCAACGGGGGACAAGTTAAAAGGAAACTCAGAATGTATCCTTTGCCCTTTGAAGTTTGACTGCAACTTGGCACAGGCATTAAAGAGGTGACTAGTTTCCTTTAGGGTTTAAGTCTCCGCTGAAAAAGATGAAATCAAAAGCAATCTGAAGTTCCCAATTAGATTTATATTAAAAATCAATAATGAAGGCCCTAAAAAGGCATACTGATGACTCCTGAAGCGCTCACAGAATCAGCGCAGCTCATTTAAGGGCAGACTGTGATAATCCTGGCTTTGATTATTGGCCTGTATCATGAGTAGTCCCATTTAATTCAGTGTGGCTACTTAAGGAATAAAGTGCTATTCCGGGGAAGATCAGCACACTCCATCCTTAGAATTCCATAGGTGACCATGAAGGGACGGGACCTGCGCCGCGCTGTGCCCCCTGCCCTTGCAAGGTGCTTCAAGCAACAGAAATAAGGCTATCAGAAACCCTCCTAGGTCTTCCACGGGCAGTCTGTACTGCAGAGGTAGAGTTCCTGACAATATTTTGTCACTATATATGTATGATTCTATAGGCTGTAAAGATTTCCTGCTGTGTTCTTTTGCGCGGATTCATTTTTGCCCTCAGGGTGAAATAAATTGGTGAGGCAAATACAATAASTGAGGAATCTGAATGTTCCTCATTGAGGAATGTTCCTGTTGAGATGGCTGTAGAACTGAGGTGCACCTGATAGCATGAGAAATTTGCCACAATGAGACTTAGACAGGATTTCGGTGCGCCATGTATTTGATTTACACATCATATTAAAACATTCCTCTTCCAGACTGCAGCTCAGTTACTACATCTAAGCACAAYGTTTAGTCATTTAAATAGCTTACTAAGGGCCCAATTCAATTAAAAATGTTTGCAGAAATCCCTTTCTCATTGCTTTCATTGCCTTATGTAGGTTTCTGCAGAGAATAAGACATTTTTTTAATAAGATGGACCCTAGGATTCCTTTTAATAAGATGGACTCTAGGATTCCTCTATTCCTAGGGCCATCTTCTCCCTTTCTTTTCGATATGTTTTGTCCTATGTTTAGTGCATACAGGGATTCTAGTTTCTCATTTTTTAAACTATCATTTACAAAAGTCATATTTTGCTTCTCCATTAGTTTGAAAATCTTTGGAACACAGTAGATGTCAATGCTCATGGGCGGTTGAAGTACCAAGACTTTTTGAAGAAGTTCAGCCCAGACCTTGGAGCGATGCCATCGAGCGCTTCCAGCACAAGCAGTTCTGCGTCTTGTACSAGGCCCGTTACCGGTACCGTGCTGGAGTTACAGGTATCATCTCAGCCTGAACGTCCCAAGACGTCACCTTCTCTGGGAGAGCAAGGAAAAGTAAGTGACAGACACTTTAGGAGTTTTCTGGATTTTCATTTCTGTGCATAGGCTGAAAAGAATGCCTGTGAACTCAGCGAAAGCATTTCTGTTAATTGTCCATGAGATCAGGCAAAAAAATATCTCAAGCAAACACCTGTTAATAAGGGCAGTAATTTGCAAAACTGTATTACAATGACAAAAATGAGGCCAAATGCTGCAACTCCACTTTAGTCAAAGGATTTATTTAAGTTTATACCAGTAACATTCTCTATTACTTTACTCATACCAGAGTGGTATTGCAAATAACAYTTACAATAAACCTATTTAAGCAGTCATTTTTTATGAGAAAAAAATAAACAGATGAAGTTTCCAAGGCTGAATAACTGCAAAAGAAGCCCAACAAATGTAAACCTGTGGTCATCTGCCAAAGCTGGGCAAGCTGGGTAGTTGCTGTTTTCCACATGGTCTTTGCTGGCCTGTCCAAGAACGTTCTCATGGTCTTGCTCTGCCTTCTGGTGGGTGACACATTGCAGCTGTTATTGGCTCATAGTCTAACTGGCAACAATCTGTGAGAGACAAGAGAAGTGGTCTAGGAAGGCTGTAGCTTTTCTTCAGCTTTGCCTCTGTATCTATAGTTCATGTCAAGGAATCACACAGGTTGCCTGAACGTCCATCTTCCAGGAGTAGTAGRATTCACAGAAAGGTGAGGAAATCGTGACAGGCATAAAAATGAAATCTCCTCCTTGTGGTTGCCCTATGTATTCCATGTTCTTTGGCTATCTCCAAGCTTACAACAGAAAATACAAGATTTAGAATAATTCAGTGCTCTGAACACTCTTGGATTTTTCTTCCTACTCCTKCATGAGATGTTTAGCTATTGAAAAAGAAATAATGGATTGAACAATTTAAAGAAACAGAGAGCTTGTCAGGAGGGCAGGTCTAAACAGCCCACTGGTAGCTAAATTATTGCATTACCTGTAGGTTCTTTCTTAAAAAGCCAAGCAGTTAGTTACACACATCCTTCATGCTCTGACCTAATCCYTGTGGAAGGCAATAGAAAATTCCTCATTGCTCTCAGTGTCTGCTAGATTGGACACCACAACCCAGCTCTCCTAAAATTCATGGCTGTTGGAAAGCCTGTGGCCAGCCTGAATGGGATGCTGAGTGACCAGGTGCCCTGGCAGCACTGCATGGGAAGGTGTGCAGGGCCTCAGTGAAGTCCCTAAGGAAGCATTGGGAAATACTATAAACTTCAATATGGAAGGCTAGAATTAGACATTTGTCATTTGGTGTTTTTTTCAACATAACCAATAAAGCCTGGGAAGAAAAATTAGTATTATCTCCTTCTTTTAGACACCAGCATCCAGCCGTCCTCAGACAACTGCAACATGTTCTGGACCTGTCCTTAACTGTGAACCAATAGAAAATAAGATAAGAAAGAAAATCAAGCATTCCTGGAGAAGAATACTGAAAGAGTGCAAAGAGAAGGATGTCCACAAGAAAGGAGAAATCCCAGTGTCAGACTTCCTAGGTTTGTTACCATCTGAAACACATTTTATTCATTCTAAGATGTATTTCATTTTCTTTCTGGTGTCTCAGCCATAGGAACATCTGGTCCCTAGCAAGTGGCATCCACTGCATGACTGCTCCATCCTGCTATAGCAGAACTGGAATAAAAGCAGCCTTAGATGCCACACATTTAGACTCAGAATTAGCTATTCCCTAGGAAAGGAGAATGTGGCTTTGTCAGTTGGTATTCATGGCATAGATACAGGATGACTGATCAACTTCCTAACATATGAGTCCTCTGTAGACTCGGGAGATGTGAATACATATACATTTACCAGGCTGTTCCCTTATGTGCTTGCATGTGCTTTATGGTGAAATCCTGGCTGCACTGATATTGGTGGCTAAGGGCCTGCTAATTTCAAAGGACCCTGGATTTTGCCCTTGCAAGAGCTGAGCTATGCTGCCCTTCTGCTCCTCTCTCTGCCATTGGGACGGCTTTCCCAATGCCTTCATAAAGGACATTTGCCCATGTAATAAGACAGTATGCACCTGAATGATCSATTGTAAAGACTCAGGTATAAGAACATGTTATCAACTTACGAGAACTTTTACTGCAGTTAATACAAAAAGTACCTCTTGTGCATTTAAAATAGCGTGTTATCAATCAGCTAAGACCTTGTTCGATGTGAATTGCCATGCCTGTAATCATGAACATATGCAAGTAGCTCTGCATAGCTGAAGACGTGCATAATGTGTTCGTGCTGCAGGCACTGAGGGCCTGCCACTATACCCTCAGTAAAACTTGCCAATTAAATGCAATGGTTGGCTATTTTTAAGAGTGACAAAATGGATTTTTTTTTGCATTTCTTTTACTCCAGATATAGCAGAGAAGTTTGAGTTAGATTTAAGTGAAGACGAAATCAAACAAATAACCACAAAATATGATTTGAGGAATAATGGAAAATTTGCATATTGTAACCTCCTTCAGAGCTGCATCTTGTTTTTAAAGCCAAAGGAAACCACCCTGCTACAAAGGATGATTATACAGAAACCACAAATACCGGTATATACGAAGCTTTTAAAAATTAAGGGTTTGTTTGTTTATTTCCARTTTTCCTGCAGTGACAGAATATTTCATGACTTGAGTCTACTGTCACCTCGTACAGGGACTTTCCAACATTCTTCTATTTAATCTTATCTCCTATTCAATAATAATATTCATTTAGTGTCCCCTTCATCTACAGCATTTAACTCCTTGTGATCATGCTCTGCCTATCAAGGGTATATGATATATTYGCTAAAACTTGGATAATAGTTAGAAAACACAAGAGCTGAAGTTCTACCAGACTTTTAGCTAAGTCAACTAGCAATAAAAATTGCAGTGGAAATCTCCTGGGACAGCTGCAGCTGCAGGTACTGCCAGGGGCAGGTATTGCCTCAGCTCCACACTGGGCACATAAGAAAAGCTCAGAGGAAACTCTCCCTTGCCCTGTTGTCAATGGTCTCTAAAAAATATCTAATAGCCGTGACTAGTCAGCAGACACTTGCAGCATCCTTGCCACACACCCCCTCTCCACAAGCTGCAAGGAAGAGGCAAAAGAGTCCAGCTGCACGTGAACTCATTCCCTCTGCCCTTGGGACAAGTGTAGGGCAGGAAAGATCAGAAGAGGTGTCRAAATGTGGGTCTCCTGGCCCAGAAAAGAAGAGCTTGGTAGCTGTGCCCACCCAAGATATGAAGTAGAAACAGTGCCAGATTCCAAATCTGCTCATTCAGCAAACCTGCTGCATTTTTAGGCTGTTTCTGACTGTGCCTAATTAGCTTAGATATGGTTAGTAGCAGCATTTTATGGAGAAATTACATTATGGAACTGTTTTCAGCTGTGGAACAGATTGCTACCAAGGTAGGAAGAGAGTATCATTAGGAATTATCAAGTATTCACTGCCAGTAGGGAGAGTAAGGTAAAACTATTAAGTTTTGCATCAAAGAACTTCATTATCTTGCATAAGACTTCTTTTATACACAAACGTGTTGCTGTAAAATTCCATCCTGGCATGCTGGGATGCATAAAGCAGTAATTTTTAAGTCCCTGTGCTGTAGTCTCAAATAATTTTTGTTTTATTTATTCTATTCAGAAAACATAGTGAAGAGCTCAATCCAAGTTCTGAGCATAGAATGTAATATTCAAAGTGAAATTTCCTCATAGATTGCTCAGCCAAATAAGCATATAGACTTGCATCAAAAGGAATAATAAAAACAAATAAAACCTTTTTTTTTTTTTTTTTTTTTTTTTTTTTTTTTTTTTTTTTTGTGGTGGCAGGCACAACTCTTTCTCAAAAGCATGAGAGAATCAGTATTCTGGGTGGCAGGTAGCAGATGTGTAAAAGCAACTGTGCATTTCCTCCACACCGAGACATCTGTAGAGATGCCAGCAGCTTGARCAACTGGCACAAATGGGATGCTGTTGACTTAATCATATTACTATAATAACACCAGGGGAGTATGGAGGGAGATGGAGATGGAGCTCGAGACAGAGAGGGCAGTACAAGAGGCTGAGACCTTGCAGGATGATGAAGGCTTGCAGACTTTTGCCAAAGTCCCTTGCCCATAACCCACGTCTTAGGGCATGGTACAAGTGGAACAAATTTTGCTGTAATTAATAGCTTCACACTTYGTGTGTTCAAGGTTCAACAATGTAATGACTTCAGTAAGGCTAACACAATAGAGACACTTCCCAATGAACTTAGCTCTATGTTCCAGCTATCAAACTGTGGGAATGTTCAAAAATTAATCACAAGGTATTTTATGTGCTAGGAAAAACATATAGTGGTGTTTTGCTTTTCTTAAATACTCTGCTGCTCTAACAGTTGGCTTATGCATTCAGTCACTTTATAGCAAGAAAATCACTCTAAGAAATGAACACCTCAGAGAACTGTGAATGACTGAAAGAGCAAGTTCAAACAAGGACAAGTGTAATACGTGTGAAAACACTGAGATCCTAGAAGTAACTTTGCCCTCAGAATCAGTTTCAAATAAAAAAAGTTAGGATTTTGACAGGGTTTAAGTAAGTGTATCATCTGCACTTCCCAAGAATTTTAAAATAAGTTAAAATAAATCTTGTGTAAACAGTATCTTGTAATAATTTGTAAACGAGTATACAGTGGCCTATCACAGGTTTGGTTGCTATTTCCTGCTGGCATCTTTCATTCTGCATTATTTTCATGCCCATTTGTGTTCCTGATGTTGGTAAATGCCAGTCTTTCTCACCCAACTTTGCCAGCTGAGTCCTGGACCACAAACCACAACGTTCTTCAGTGCGATGCTGAGAATTCAACCCCAGATCCTGCACTGCTGGAGACCAATGAGGCGAACTTTTAAGTCCTATGATGAAAGTCGGACGGGATTGTTAAATATTCCAGATTTTAGACAAGTAAGTTTCATTTATCAATGAACAGCTGGACAATTACAGTAGTGTAATCSAACCTTCCTAACTGAAAGCTTTGTGCAAATTGGTCCTGGCCTGGAGTATATAAAGTCACCCCGGCTTCTGCCTGTGATTTTAGCTCTGGTAATTACTCAGAGTAGTCTCTGTCCACATACCTCCCTGAGCACTGGTGTCTTGGTGGGGACCCGCAGCAGCATCTTAGATGATAGAAATGAGAAATCTGTCTCTATGAAGAGTTGAAATAAGCACTTTACATCAACACAAGGGAAGGGAATAGGTTGTTTACTGCATTGAATGAATCCCCCATGTCTTTCTGATAGATCGCAACTCATCAAGCAGCAAAAACCCTCCTGTAATGCTTGAACTGGGAACTGTTTGTTCATCTGGAACCAAGAGGACCCTCAGCCTTACTGATTTCAAAGTCTTTGACATTGCTTTAGCTAGGAATAATCATCTCAGGCTGTTGCAATTTAAAATCTTTCCAATTCAATTGCAAGAAAAAAAAATCACATAGGGCCTTAAATGCATGTAATGCTGCATCTGTTGGGACAACACTTGGTATCACGGCTGCTTTGAAGAACCATCAGCGAGTGGACAGGATACTCCGTCCCAGAGGGCAAATCATTCAGAACCACTCTAAGACCTGTGACCTCTAAGGCCTCTTTACTWCTTTAGATTTAGTGGGAACACAATGTGCTCTGGCCCCACCACATAGCTGAAGTCTCTATACCTCCTCACCCGTTTATGAAGGCTGAGGAGCAAGATGTATCCGGGCACTTATACTGACTTCATGCTGGAGGCTCTGTGTCCATCACTGCACCTTTCTGCCYGCTTAGGTACTGCCTCAGCAGGCCCCATTCAGGGGGCAGGAGGGAAGATCAGACCTGTTGCATTTCCTTCTAAATGCTATGCTTCTCTAGCACATATAATGATTACTATTTCTAGTTAAAGCAGTGTCGATGACTTGGAAATCAAGTCTCCTAAACATGTTTTAAGCAACACACACATACAAGAAAAACAGCCAACAAAATAACCTCCACGTGGATCTAGATCCAGAAGCAATCAGTGGCTACCACAAAGTTTTTTATTTGCTATTGAACAAGACAGCAAATGATTTGCAGAGGATATGAATCCCTTTATTTCCCAATTAACTTAATGTACTGAAGCATGAAAGTTAACGTGGTGCAACCTTCCGTAGCACTACTATTGTGGCTATTTTTTCTACAAGGGAACCCCAAGGCAGCTTCAGATGCTCAGTTATGAGAGAAAGGTGGAAACTAATCTGAGTGTGATAGAAAATCAATGACAATTTGCACAGCACTCGAAGACACATTGGCAGAGGTCGATGGTAGCTTTGGGGACCAAAGTTCCCAAGTGCACATAAACCCAGCCACATGTAATCCTCAGAAATTAGCACAGTATTTGCCTTTTGTGGCAGAGCATTGGTGGCTGGACATTTAAATCTGTTATGTGCTGCAAAATGCACTGGGTGGTATTTTTGAAAGAGGCAGGTATCTAACTTGGCTTTTGGCATCTGCTGAGCCAGATGCTCCATGTTCAAGTTGAGTGCTCATGGGTGAGTTGAGAACGAGTGCTTGTGGGCTGAGTCTCAGGAGCATTAAAGGCCCACAGTGCCTATGGACATTACTACTGTGCCTACATTTATTTGAGGAACTGGATTATTCCCTCTGTTACTCTGGATGCAAAGACTGTAGATCATTCAAGGTGGGTAGAAAAGAAGATTTTTCTGCCTCTTGGTCCCATCTGCTTGTAGTAATGAAAGCCTTTCAAATATGTACTTCTGTAAATCAGCTTCGAGGCACAAGGGTGCTACCCATTTCCAAAATGCCTTCTTTACCCAAGTGACATTTAGCTGGTGGGCAAAAGCCTTGTGTATGCGGACTTGGGGAATGCATCCCATGGAGACAATATCAGCACTGGAAAACTAAGAGATAAAAGGGAAGGTTTGATTTGCAGACACTCTGAGTAACCTAAGACTTAGTAGAGCTGAATCACCAAGCTATTTTTAAAGAAATTTTAGTGACATAAACTGTTTTTTTTCCCCCTTTGCTAATCCAGAGCACTGGAATCAATTGTATTGTTTTTGTCTTTTGCAGGTTCTTCGTGAGTACAGCATTAACCTAACTGAAGAAGAGTTGTTTAACATCTTGGAATATTATGATAAAACCCTGTCTTCAAAAATATCCTATAATGAATTTCTCCGGGCATTTTTGCAGTAGGATTTGGTCAAATGCAGGAAGCTATAGATAAAGTAGATAAAAAGAGTGACTGATTTATATTTTCAAATTTCAAACTAATAAATGAATTGAGTATGACATTTTTTGTATCTATTCATTAGATACCTCAAAATACTTAACAATTCTGACAGAGTGGTCTTATGTTGTGGATTAAATCTACATAGTGAGGGAATTAATTCTGCATAATCCATTTATCAAAAAAGAAAAAGACAACAATTAGCAGTGTCAAAATAATGCTTCCTAAGACATATCCAAAAGCAATGCATTTAAGAAAGCTCTTTTTAAAATGCATTTTATTAATGGCACACCCTAACTTCAGTAAAAAGGTTTACAAGGCATACTATTCAATTTCCTCAATTATAATTTTCTGAATATATTACTTTTAAATTATTATCCTTCCTTATTCAAAAAAATCATCCCCAATCCATCTTTTTCCTCTGCTTGATCATGCAGTGCCATATTTGTATTGCCAATGACATTACATGTTAACATCAATGACTTTTGAAATTCGAGCAGATGCCAAATGTGCACAGACACGCCACAGTTTTCTGTTAAAAATGCTCCTCTACATCCTTCAGTATGCTTGAAAAAATCAGCCACTTTGCTAATCAGCTTTGGTTTCTTAACTGCAGAGGTGTATTCCCAGTGCTAGCCTTGAGGTTTATTTTTTAAGAATAATACATATTTTTATATAATAAGCAGTAAACTGCAAGTAAAATCTCTGGTGAGATTCCCCCATTCGGAGAAGTTATGCTTGAATATCTTGTGAGATACTTTGATCTTGACAAGGAAATTAAAAGATAATTGTTTTGCCTGTTGAACTGTTGTGATAATTAAAGGATATATGATCATTAGAGTYTGCTTCCTGGGATTATAGCAACACTTAAACACTTACCTTCTCTGAATAATTGTATCACTTTCTGGTTCTTGAACTAGTTTTCATCGGCGCAATGGAAACGCTGTGCCCATCACCTGCATGCACTTGCTCTGCTTGTTCTCCCAAGTAGCATATAAAGCTAAGTGAACAAAAAAACAACCAATCMAAAAAAATGGGAGCAAGCTACAAATATGCAGGTATGTGTGTACATATATATGTCTAGAAGTGTATATTCATAGACACACCATATATAAAGATAACCTATGAAAGTCATGATGAAATGCGAAAGGGCCAAGAAATGGACTCCTGGTTTTATTTTTATTATAATTTATAGTGAAGTTGTAAACTATTGCTATGATTCCCCATGAGAACATAAGAACATTTTAATATATACCTTTTTTGAGGATATATTTCGTTGCAGCTGGAACTTTTCTGAGATTTTTGTATGACTTTGAAAAAATAAGGCATTGATGAGGTTTCAGGCTAGACTTGGAGCTGTGCAGTTTGGGTGATCTTTGCTTCTGCTATAGCTTTTAAGACGCATGTAAGACCCTAGTATAAAATAAGTGCATCTGGTATCAAAAAATACTTAGCTAGACATCTTTTCCAAAACTGTTGCCTCTAGGTATATCTCTGATCCTTAGATATTTGGTCAACACATAAAATTGTAACTGCAGTTATTTAAGGATGTTCTTCTGTACTAAACCAATATATAGAAATTCCTAGTTCCATTAATAGAATATTTTTAAACTAGGCACATTTTAGCATGTGACTAAAAGGGACTGGCCTTGACCCACTTGCCCAGGGGGAGGTGGCTGTATCTGAATGTCGTAGGTAKTCACAGGTATCACCTGTAGGACCCCTGTAGGTCCTGAGGTGGCAGCCAGGCCCAAGGGGAGGTCTCCAGTGTCCTAGGGCATCTCCAGCCGCGCTGGGTAAATATGCTCCAGCAACAGAGTTGAGCCCAGGAGCGATTCAAGTGAGATCCCGATAATTTGCCTTGGTTTCCAGGTACCTGCTGTCTCCAGGAGAAGCGCCGCCACGACGGGGGCRTTCCTGGATTTCCTCACACGTCACGCCAGGGGATTTTTCATTAGTTCGGCGGAGAAGGGTATGAAACCCAACAACTCCAAAGGGATTAAAGAACAATCTTTTTGCAGTACAAACAAATCAAATTAGGCTGGGTGTTTTAGTGACTTCTTAAAGGCAGGCATGGCACTTGCCAACTGTTTAACCAACCTCACAAAGAAACTGAATTTCTTCTGCCAGCTTTTTGAAATAATCTAGCTATTTTTTCCTATTAAAATTACCAACTGCTAGACACATAAACTTTGTAATAGAAAAGTAGGGGATTTTTTTTTGCAACCACTATCCATAAGGATAGTCAGACATCCGGTGAGGACTGACTGGCAGTGATGCCAGTAGGTTTTCATGGAGAGGTAATGTCAAYGGGACGGAGCCTTATCCTGTGCTAATGCTGATCTGCTGCTCTGTGTACACACTGAGGCAGTTCTGAAAATAAAAACCATCAAGGGAAAGCAGACATTTTATTTCAGAGCAGATTGCGGGGATCCCGGGCCTGCTGCGGGAGACTGACTGGCTTTTGCTGTTCCGGGAGCYGCAGCGGACGGCCCGGCCGCCCCGGACCCGCGGGATGAGAGGTGCCGCGGCCGGGCCGGCCCAGCGCCGCGCGGTTCCGCGCCCTGCGGAGCCGAGGTGGAGCCGAGGTGACCTCGGTGGAGCCGAGGTGACGCTGGAGCTAAGGTGACACTGGAAGAGGCCTCTAGGCCCAGCCCTGGGCCAGGAGCAAGTTGTCACGCTTGCCTMCCACACCATCCTTTAAAGCGTGCTAGGAAGGCAGGCGAATCCCTTGCACACACTTCCCCTTCTGTTAGACACTTAGGTTACTCCAACTGGTCTGAAAACCCTTGCACAGATGGAGACCTCCTCCAAGAGGCCCTTGAGGGCTGCGGCGGCCTGTGCCGGCCCCGGCGCCAGGGCGGAGCCCTCAGGGCGGCCAGCCTGGCTGGCAGCAGAAACTCGCAGTGAGCACCAGGGTCCACGCTGCCCAGAAGCTCCCGTCAGCCAAGCACCTGCGGGCTTCCCGGCGATTAAAATACAATATAGCCACCCTTCGCTGCACAGAAAGTGGATTTGGTATTTAATTAGACAACAAAGAGGAGAGAGTGTCTTTCACGCTCCTACTTCCTCCTCCCCACACCTTCCCCCTCAGCTTTCTCCTGGCATGAATTCTTAGCAACAAAACCAGTRTCATCATCTTCAAATAAGCAGGTATAACATGCTGCTCAAACAGCAGKAGGAAAACCTCACTGCAGCTCTGGGAGCATCCAGATTGCATCTTTGATGTAGACAGATCTTCAATAGGAAAGGGAAGAAAGTTGTCCTGAACATCAACTTGTGCTGGCATGAGGGTGCCCTGGCAGCCCTGAGGCTGTTTCCAGGCACAAGTTTCATCAGCAGCCTCAGAGCCCAGGGCTGCAACCAGCTGCATTGAGTCTCACCTGAGCTGGTGTTGATCTCTGTCCCTGGCCRAGATCATCAAAAATAAAGACTGAAAAGCAGGATAATGCCAGAGCATCACTGGGCTGTAGATATCCCTTTGCATCTGCTTTCAGTGCTGTTACATTTACAGAATATTTCATTAAATTAGCAATATACTGCAACTACTTCAGTGGATCTATTCCAGCCTAGCTGAGGTACGAATTGGACCCATGCACTTCCTTTCCTTGCAATCAGTTTTCTGAAAAAGTAGCAGCTCAGGAGCAAGCGCGCCAAAGGGGTTTCACCCACGGAGCAGCACATCTTGCTCCCTGAAGAATTCCCATCTTGCACATTCGAGTAGATGCTGAAACCGCTCTAATTAACATTTTTAATTTGCATTTTAATTGCCTGCCGGGGTGCGGAATGACATGGCTGGGTAAAGGCAGGTTTGCCTAAGTGGCAGTGGCTTGTGCAGTCCCAGCAAGATGGGAGCCTTCCTGGTCAGCAGTCCCTTTGCCGACAWCCCCATCACTGAGCGAAGGTCTCATCCCCTGCCCAGCAGCATAAGCTGAGAGGGTTTGCGTGGGGGCTGTTGGTTGTTTTTTCCTATGAATGGGATTCCCATAACTAACTTTTTTTAGCGCAACAAAGTCACTAGATTTTCACCTATAATCATTTTCTTGGGTCCCTGCAGTGTCACCTCCAGCTTCTCAAACTTATTTTTGAGTCAGTGCAGAAGGAAGATGTTTTCAAATTGCAGCCATACTGAGGTCAAATCCAGAGGAAATGCAGGTTCCTTATTGCTGCTTTGCACATTCAGCTGCTGCACTAGCTCTTCTGGCCATGCAGAGCCACCTCTGAAGCCTGGTTAGTGCCTTGCTTTCCAAGGCAGGGGCGCTGTGGTCCATGTCCCTYGGGTCTAGAGATATGACTCTGAGACGGCCATATTAAAATGTAGATTAATTTTTTAATTTGTTATGGTTATTTTCTTAAAAACAAGCAAACAAAACAAACAAACAAAAAAAAAAAAAATGGAGAGCAGCATAGCTGTGCCCCTTCCTATTCAGTATTTCCTCTCCAATCCAATGTCTGGGTTGGCTGCAAAGTGTTTCAGTAACACTTGGGGAGGGAAGGGTTTTCCAGATCAAGATCTAGGAACTAAATCATGTCAGGTAAGGAACCCATACCTTACAGCCACTTAAAGATGATTACTCATTTAATTATATCAGTTAGATGATTTTTAATTCATTTAATGTGTGCAATGTTGGATTTTTATCATTGCCATTTCCTACTCAAAATACTRTGCAATGGTGCCAACTTATCTGCCTTAACAGAAGACTATTACCTTAACGCTATTTCATTTGCCATCTGAACTTGTAATCTCCTAAAAAGCTATGAAATGAGTTTGGGAAGATCCGTTCTACTTAAACCCACCTTAATTAGCATTTAATTTTATTACTCAAATTTCTTACAATCAATCCTATCACTACTTTTTTCTGAGGATCAAAGTCATGCTAACCCTGACTTGCTTTGCCCTTTCTGTTTCCCTTTTTTAAGATATTGGCACAAAATCAGAGTTTTCTGGGCTACTGAGACTATTCTCATGTCTTAACGTGGCTGAAAAACCATTACTAGCAGTTTACAAAACCCTTCCGCCAACTTCTTGGATAATCTCGGATGCAAAGTTGCTGATTTAAAATATTTGGTAATTGCTATTTAATGTACTCTTTAAGGACTTATGGGCTGGAAAGTACTTGCTCATCAACACTGTATAATGTCCCACTACCACTGGGCCCTTTTGCCTGTGCACAACAAAAAATTTCATTGTAAAATCCATCTTTATAACAATACTGTTGATGAAT